AATATATAAGTGCTTGTCTGTAGTCTAGATGTACAGTAAGATCAAGGAATGTGATATATTATTATTCCAATTGGATTTGATTGTTTTATTTGCTTTTTTAATTCATAATGATACCATATACATACCAATTTCTCTTTATCATGGCATTACTCGTCCGAGGTTGCGGGGTAAGCGCAGTGGTGTCCGTTACCCAGGCCAGATGTTGTCGACAATGGTCATTTGAATCTTATAGATAATTAGTTGTGCGGCTTCTGTAATTGTTGCGCACATTTTTAAATTTGTTGCGCTTATAGTTTTTTAATTATTTAACAAAAACATTTCCTGCTGGCGTAACGTTACCACAGCCAGACCTTTTTCTTTCTAGTAGGAATATTTAAATAAATATTAGCTATAAAATTAGTTGTCTAGATGAAGTAAATGTTGTGCCTTATTTTGTATTTGTTCTTTCTTCGGTTGCGAAGTTATTCGAGATTTTGCTGCGGTAACGTTTTTGGTTTTGCTAGATCTTTGAAATGGTTAAGCGGATTCTTATCATATTTTGTACACGACTTCCGAGGACTTAGTTTAAATTTGTTGTGCAATAACAAAACCAAAATAATGCATATTTTAAAGTTTTTTTCATTAAATAGAAAAACACTTAAATTGGCCCCAGCACTCTCAATAAGAAGTCTAAAGACTTACTTTAAACGTAATTTTAAAGCTTGTAACTGCCTTCAAATGTATGTGAAGTTTCATTAGTATCCCGTAAGTATTTAACAAGTTATGATGATATTCAGTTCTTCACGAGCACGGTCTTAATGCACGCGGTGTTATTTGGCCACTGGATTGGATATATGAACTGAATGTTATGTCAATAATTAGTTGTTTAGATCAGTTGTATATCAGTAAAATTTCAGCTCAATACATTGGATAATTAATGAGATAATACTATTAAAGTCATTAGGAAGCGAATGACCGTGGTAAGCCGACCAAGTTTAGGTGGTTACAAAAAAGCGAAAACGCAGAACATTAAGGTACCTTCTAAAATATGTAGGATAGTGTTTTAAATTTAGTACAGACATGTACAAAAGTTTAAAAAAAAACTACATGATTATTCAAGATTTTTTATTGAAAGGTAAATTAATCATTTCAATTGAACTTTTACTCCCTTACTTATAAAAACTTGTGTTGCTTAGCAACCGATTAAACATCACCCGTCCTTGTCATTTCTATTTCAAAATGCAGTTCAAAAATCATCTTAAAGGTTACTAAAGTAACCCTCTGGCAAGACTGAGTGCGTTATGCAAACAATGTATTACCCCTTCACCCCACTTCTCCTGCGTCCTACCGAACGGCATGCTCTAGCGGTGATTTTTGATAATTTTGTGGAACTGGAAGATAATGTTTTCTTTTATATTATTATTATATAGGTATTTAACAGTGTACGCGTCTGTACCAAAATTGTAAGGTGTATTATACTAAACATTTCAAAAGATAGTACAATGTTCTGCGTTTTCGCTTTTTCGTAACCACCTAAACTTGGTCGGCTTACCACGGTCATTCACTTCCTAATGACTTTCATAGTATTATCTCATTAATTATCCAATGTATTGAGCTGAAATTTTACTGATATACAACTGATCTAAACAACTAATTATTGACATAACATTCAGTTCATATATCCAATCCAGTGGCCAAATAACACCGCGTGCATTAAGACCGTGCTCGTGAAGAACTGAATATCATCATAACTTGTTAAATACTTACGGGATACTAATGAAACTTCACATACATTTGAAGGCAGTTACAAGCTTTAAAATGACGTTTAAAGTAAGTCTTTAGACTTCTTATTGAGAGTGCTGGGGCCAATTTAAGTGTTTTTCTATTTAATGAAAAAAACTTTAAAATATGCATTATTTTGGTTTTGTTATTGCACAACAAATTTAAACTAAGTCCTCGGAAGTCGTGTACAAAATATGATAAGAATCCGCTTAACCATTTCAAAGATCTAGCAAAACCAAAAACGTTACCGCAGCAAAATCTCGAATAACTTCGCAACCGAAGAAAAAACAAATACAAAATAAGGCACAACATTTACTTTATCTAGACAACTAATTTTATAGCTAATATTTATTTAAATATTCCTACTAGAAAGAAAAAGGTCTGGCTGTGGTAACGTTACGCCAGCAGGAAATGTTTTTGTGAAATAATTAAAAAACTATAAGCGCAACAAATTTAAAAATGTGCGCAACAATTACAGAAGCCGCACAACTAATTATCTATAAGATTCAAATGACCATTGTCGACAACATCTGGCCTGGGTAACGGACACAGCGCAGTGAGGCACCGCGACCTCGGCCCAGAGCAGGAGAAAGAACAGGGGGTTTTTTGTCAGTAAGAGTCTGACACTCCCTCCCGCCCGGCCCTGGGCGGGAGAAGTCATTTGATGATTTTCCCCTCACAAAAAAATGGCATTACTCGTAAATGGCCGATTTCGATGACATTCTGCTGTTTGGTAAGATTAGATTTAGGCTCTTACAAAGGATTATTTTTGTTGAAAGAAGAAAATCGAGAAATACCTTTACTGACACAAAAAGTAGTATGTTTGTAACTCTAAATAACTAATTACATTGACATACTACCCATATTATCAAATAGACATGGGTAATCTTTATTCCGGAAAGTGTATTGATTCACTTATTCTGTATACGATATTAACATTTTATTCATTCGGTTCGTTGGATCATTTGCACCATTTCGAACTGAATAGTTAACAGCAATGGTATTCTAAAAAAATCATCTATAGAAATAAGAGCCTCCTATCGACGAATCTTCAACGCATCGCTCTCGTAGAAAAATCAAAACAATTTTGAGCTCTAATTTCATAGTGCCAGACCAGCAAAACCAATTGATGGGTAGTATGGGTAGGTACGTATAATAGCGACATGATTTCACCCATAGATTATTATTGTAGGTCTGTGGATTCACCGAGCCGAGTGAGCGAGTGGGTGCGAATCCGCGGTTCCTGCGTGGCGGCGCGGTGCCGGCGGAATCATTTGGAACCGCAATGCCGGAAATAATTGTTAGGAATAAAATAAGGTTTACACGTATCCGCGTTCGGAACCAGCACCTTAGTATCAGTACCTCCGGAGATACCCACAACTATTACCAAATATACGACTTCATAAACCCTATGAAGTGTACATTCTGACCTGGCTTGTTGAACATTAGGTATACTTTCAACTGGTCATGCTTAATTATTTTATTAAATATAATAATAATTTCTTCTTCCTATTATTGTTTTATCAAAAACAAGCTATTCTCGTGCGGTTTCACCCGCTGCTCAGCTCCATTTCATTGTAGCGTGATGTTTTATAGCCTGTAGCCTGGAACATTGTAGCTATCTATCAGGGAAAGTATTTTGGCAATCCGGCCAGTGGTTCTAAAAATTACACCCTACATACAAACTTACAAATTTTACCTCTTTATAATATTAGTATAGACAAACCTATAGAATATTATATTGTATTGTAACGATGAAACGGGACATAACGTGATTAGATACTAGGAACATCTATTCACTCCGTTTCATGGTCGTTTAATACACAGTTTAAATATTATTAAGAGAGTAGGTAGTTGTCAATACATACATGAATAGGTAAACAATAATATAACCCGTGATATTAATATAATCTTACACCTAGCTTTCTAAGGGGGCCTAGCGATGGAGTAATTGGTAGAATTGCTAAGCCCACTTTTGACAACGTTACACCACCAAAAAAAAATATCGTAAATTTTTTGGTACCTACCTACCTAAGTTTTTAAAACATTTCAAAATTTTCCTGCGCACTATGGCAAGACCAGTCATTAAGATTTTATAAACTCCAGACTACCCTGAAAGGAATGAAATGAAATATTCTAGGAATTGTTACCCATTTTTTCTCAAAATTGGGAAAATCACCAAGTGACCTTTCGCCCAGGGTGAGGCGAGTGGGAGCGTCAGACTTTTACGGACTGAACCCCCTCCGTTCCTGCTCCAGGCCGAGGCCGCAATACTTTATTGCGCTTGCCTTGCAACCCCGGCTCTACCTCGGCCCTGTTAGATCCCGTCTGTGGTAGTCTTCTCACCGTACGCTCAGGTTTCGTTCTGGTCGACTGCCCTTGCTCGCCGTCCGCAGTCACTCGATCCCTATTACGAGCCTGCACCCTGCTACTGGCCATATTTTATAACGTTAGTAGTAAACAACACTCACAGTATTAAGTGTTTATCTTCTAAGGAAAAAACACGTGGGGTTTGCGCACGCTCGGCAACGTTGCAACGTAAAATGTGATGTGCGACGCACACAGAAGACTCGACGAAAGAAATAAAATCAACCGATGAAGTCCGCATTAAGCTAGGTATAGCCCGACAGGCATTATCACATAAACTAAAGGATCCTTCATTTCTAACTTTAAAGAATTTTGCACTTTTCAGCTATAGATGCGTATAACACGCTTTTCAAGTCCCCGAGAAGATAGACGAGGTACACATAAACTTTTAACTACTTAGTTGTAATGATATGTGGGTTATTACAAAGAAGAACCGAAACATTCCAAGCCGGGCGACAGCAGCCTTTGTAACCACTCCGAGGCGGCAATGTGTTGAATTACATACCCAGTCTCATGTCAATGAGGGCCATGACTTTTTTTGATGTTTTATAAACTGATGTAAATACTAAAAACATTTCACTACAATGACACCAGTCGACATATGTACACGTTCAGTTTATAGTAATTTTCAGGATTTGGCACTGGCAATGTTTGCACTTAAGTGTCTCTAATATAATAATAGTATGATCACAGACCTTGTGAAATGGACCAGTGAGATAAAGTGAGTTTCTGTAAAAAAAATGGTAATCGATACGTTTTACCTACCATATTCCATATTTAATCCCAACTATGTGCATATGAATAAAATAAGGGGTTATGGTTACAATAGAACGATATTCAAAAAAATGTTTTTATTGCTTTCAAAATTTAAACGTAGGATATAATTATTAATTTCGTATTCAAACGTGGTATCCAATATTGTAACTATTCTTCTGAATATTTGTACATAAAAATGGTCAAAATTACCAAGTTAATGCTTATATGTATAAGCTTACCAGTGAATCTCTGGTTAGAGATTTTAACGGTTTTGTTTCTAACTTCGCTATTTTTTAGACAAGATTTTGTCATAATACCTGTCCAAAACGATTCATTGGCGAAAACAAAACATAAATAACAATTTAAACAACATATATACAATATGGAATGTCAATATATTTTACTTCATATCTACATTTGATTTCGAGATTGAGAGTAAATGGCTGAAATTAAGTTGCTTAACAATATACAATGTTTCGTGGAGATTTGTATTATTGGTATTCATTCATATTTATATTCTCTCATTCATAAATGAGTATGTACGCAAAACTCGTTAAAAATTACTACATTTGCACTGGAGTTATCTATCTACAAACATAAAAAGACATATTCCAATGTAAAATAAATATATTTCAAATCAAATGTATGACATTTGATCTGTTTTCCATGACAGACTGATAAAAAATCTACTAACATTAAGCAATATTTATCGAAAATCGAATACGTAACAGAAATTCCATTCACTAATAAATATAAACCCACGCCGTCACCCATTGCACGTTGAATTTTAAGCGACATTTTAATGTTATGGCATTTTTTTTACTTCTAAGCGTCAAGAATTACTTTTATTTCCGAAATATTCAATTCGTAATACAGCGATGCAATGAGAAATGGTGTGAAGTCACGTAACAGATTTCATAGTTTATTTGATTGTTTATTCACCAATTACATAAAACATGTTGATTTTCCAATCTACCATTCTATCGTCATTAGTAGACACTATAAAACAATTATGGAAGGAAGGAGACGCCTCTAAAACGAAATATAAATATAGACTTACGAATGTAAAGAGAGTTGTTTACCATTAGGACCTTACATACAAACTTATAATACAAGTTAATTTTAATTAAAATGCAACCCTCTAGTAAAGGCCCATAATATGTGACCACGAAATCAATAATGACGTTACAACAGTTTAAGTATACCTATTCACAGCACTTAACCACATGTTAGTCAACTGTTTCACGCACTAAACGATCACAAACTCACTTCGGTGTCATACTATCACCATAATTATCGATTGCATTGACGTAAAATTAATATTTATATACTCATATGTACAATTTATTAGTGTCCTCCTTAAAGCATATTACAGTGATTCTTCGAATGCCGCCATTAAATCACTTTGCATATTCATGTCTATCTGACCCGCCATCTGAAAAATACATATAAAATTAAGATTCTTGCCCTCCTTGTAATGTCTTTGTAATTAAAGAGGTAAAATTTGTAAGTTTGTATGTAGGGGGTAATCTTTGGAACCGCTGGTCGGACGCGATGGATAGCTACAATGTTCCTGAGTGACTGAGTGCTATGGCAGTATTATTTACTGTCTGTAAATATGATAAACAAGCAAAATCTATTGTCTTACTATTGTTTCTCATATTACCACGATTGAAAGGTTAAGTGAAATAGAGCAGATACTAACAGCCTCTCGTCTGCGACGTTCCTGTTCTCGCTGACGCAGGCGCTCACGCTCGGAGGCGGCCGGCTTGTCGGGCGCGGCGGTGGCGGCGGCAGCGGCCGCGGCGGGCGGCGAGGCGCGCGCCACTGGGGACACACGCGGGGAAGCCACCTCTGCGCTCTCCACTTTACGCACGCCTTGAGCCACCCTAATAAGTTCAAAACATTATAATTTTTTCTAGACGAAAATTCCCTATTACCTCAACGATTTCTTTAAAGTTTGTAAAACTTGCCTCATTTTTTCTTCATCTGGTTGTCGCCTTTCAGTCTCTTGGCGCTGTCTTTCTCTCTCTGCCTGTTCCTTTTTTCGCAACTCTTGTTGTTCTATAAGAGCTCTTTGGCGGTCAATTTTCTCTTTAGCTTGTTTCTTGAATGCCTAAAAATAAAACGATACTAAGTTATGTTTCCAATAATGTACAATAAGGAAATTTGTATATTTAACTACATTTTTTCCACTTACCTGAAAACTATCCATAACAGGCTTCTGTTTAATTTGATGATTAGGTCCCATATTTGGTATACTCTGTGGACTTCCTGCTTGTGCAAGCGAAGACCAAGAGCTTGCATTTTTCAAATTTTGTTCTTGTTTGAGTTTGAAAGCTTGTGCAAAGTTAGTATTTTTGGAGTCCTCCATTTTCTTTTCCATTTCGTACTTAACGCGGTCGGAAATATTATTGGAAACCATGTTTGGAATTCCCATGAGGTCTTCGATTGGTTTTGGTGTCAGTAAAGGTTTCACATCTTCTTTTTTCGCTGCAGGTGTGATAAGACACGGCGCATTCGGCATAGTAAGGTGGGATTGTGAGATTACACTATGTTGTGCTGTAGGTATTGGGTCAAAAATGGATGTCACCTGAGGCACGCCTGTCATACCAGGAATTATAGGATTTATGTCAGGTCGCAACATCTCACGTTCATGTTGCAGCTTGTCCACAAACCCATTGTGCGGTGGCATAAACATTTCGGTTTTAATCTGTTCTGGTACTCGAGCAACCTCTGCCAAACCACCCAGTTGTGCCATCAAGTTTTGATGGGCAGCATCTGGCATTATTTGAGGTTTAGGTAGAGAAAATTCCTCCTCTAGTCTCATTGATGTGTCTGATACTCCCACGTTTACATCCATAGGTACGTCAGCTTTAAGACTTCGCTCTAGACTTGCCAGAGATCTCTCAATAGGATCAATGTACTGAGACCCATCTATCTTATCCAGGCCATTTCTTGGTTCAATTTTAGGTATGGGTTTCTGGTCCTCTATATCACGTACAACTGGGGTGATGGAAGAATCGGGAATAATGTTAGTAGATGGCTGGGGTACAGACGTGGGCACAGAGAGCACGGGCGTCGGAATGGGTGCGGGTTCCTTATGCTCCAGCGGCTGCGCAGGGACTACTTCCTGCGGCACAATGGCGGGCTTCACGTCCACTGGCGGCGCCGGTGCCACCATCTCCACCGTAGTGGGCACGGACACTGGCGCAGCCAAAGTAGTTGCAACCGTCACAGGCGCCACCGGTTTGTGCTATAAATGATAAACGTTCAATTACGTACAGAGTACTACAAGTAAATTATTTTTTATAAGAAATGATATTTACAGCTTGTGGTGGATGCTGATGCTGTTTCTTCGGTTTCTTCTTGGGCGTCCTACTAGATCCCGTACCTGTAATCAAATTATATTGCACAAAATGCGTCGCAATTCATATCAGAAACCTACATCAGCTCAAATATATACTTAACTTGTAAAACAGCAGCAAAATCCAGTTTTCACTAACGCTTCAATATAATTAAAATGTGAGGAGAAGCCATAGTGTGCACATATTTTGAACTATGTTCACTGATACCTCTCTCTTTATAAACGAGAAAAGAAATACAACAAATTATATGGTTTCGTAAAATAAATACCTTTCCTATTATTTGTTCAGATCTCAGGGCGTAAATAAAATTCAAAATAAATTACTTAAGAGATTTACTTAAATCGTTATATATTGAAATATATACAAAGTTTATTTCCACTCACTCTTACATCTATAAATTTTAAGTCATGAGTTGATTAAATCAATCTTACATAAAATGTGACACACACAGTGTCTCTGTTTTTACGATCAACTCTCTACATTAACATACAACATAAGTTGCGTTCAAGTAATTACTAATTGCACCAAGCATACATACTATCTCTTAAAATGAAAATTAAAATCAATTTTTGTAACATTTCCGAACCCGTCAGATCAGTTCAAAAATCTGTATAGGATGTTCATTCTGTTTTCTAAATCTAACTATTACTTAATTTGTCTAAATATTGATATTGATAACTAAAAGACTAACTAATGAGTTCAATCAGTCCTTCCTTATCTAACGGGCTCCAAAATAAAATAACTTGATTGTGAAGTCTTGTTAGATAATCTCCATTTCGAGAAAATAAAGTAAAATATTGTATACATATACAGTAAACTTTTTGTTCTCTTCCCTTCTTGCCTTCTCACGGGGACTGCAAAGGGATTTTAGATAAAATATTATGTTTACTACATACTAACTTATACTACAGATTTTTTAAGCAACCTGTGAATTGTACTTGACAAAATATATACTATGAAGTAATGGACTATTGTTTACAAAGATTTTATTACGAAGTTATTTCATTTATACACTCAATAATATCCAACAAATTTAAAATACTAAATTGTTCTAGTCTGATTCAATTGAGCTACTCAACCTGAATAATATAATCTAAAATAAAACATAGGTGTACATATGCATAGTGTAAAACCTTTCTAAACAAGAGGACGATAAAACATAAGTAAAACAAGTAAAATGATCAACATTTTACCTTCCAAGTCAATCATAAAATGTGATGTTTTGGAAAAAACTAATTTATTTACAACATTTAAAAATCGTTATTTTCCGGGCCCAATTAAAATTTTGGCAATTTTAACTTAATTAGGCCTTATCCCCGATGTAATAAATAACAAGATGACTTTGAATTTGTAAAAATTTTGATCACAAAAATAAATTGGCTGAAAGATGTCCGATATAAACGGATTTTCTTTCAGAGTGCCAACTCAATAAACGAAACGATTTATTTGCATTTACCTTGATTAGTGAACTAAATCTTTTCATAAAAAAATACTAAAATAATATAATAACGTAATCCAATCTTGAAGACAGTGGTTTACAAGCGTAATTCGTTATCGTGTATTGTATGTACAAAGAATGAATAGAAACAATTCTTTGATCAGATTTAGTTGTAGTTCTATATAGGCTCGAGTTTACAACCAAACGTGAGACTACAACGCGAATAAATTATCCTCATTTCTTTACAACACTCATTACCTACTATATGCTCACAGTATTACTGGATATTTTTTTATATTCCAGTACATTTTACAAGATTTTGTTATTGATATCTATCAGGCGCATCCAGGAAACCTTTTTACTGCAAGCATTTACATTATATATATATATATATACATATTTTGTCCGGGTACACTAAAACTGGCTCGCACAACTAAATCCATAGTAATCTAATAAATAAATAATATTATAAAATCACAAAGAGAGACGGCCAAAAACAGATGCTCAGTATAATATTTTTTACGGCTTTCAATTAAAACCTTCCGCTATATCAGAGATATATCGAAAAATTATAATTTACATGCTTGACAAACAAATATGCTAATAATGCACTGATAGATACAGGGAAATCCTAGTGCACATGTCGCTTATTTTAAATGTTAATCCACGACAATCAATAACAAAGTTTGCAAACAATTTGTGAAGGAAGGAGGCCAGCTTTAGTTACTTTATGTTTAAATAGTCAATTTTGATCCACACGTCACATCAATCTTTGAGAGCAAGCATCAAAGTGTATCAAGCATTAAACCAATAAAACATACCTTTTCAATAAAATAAATTTTTAACTACAACATGTCACAAAATACATCCTCCATTGTAACAAAACCAGAACTGAGTCCATCTTGGGGCTAATTTTGCTTGCTAAGTTGGTATCCGTCCTTACACAATTGTTTGCAATAGTCCCTATGGCTGCGCACGCGACACGACTCGCCATCTGCTCTCGTAGATCCTCTTCGCTTCGCAACACTGGACGTACCGACACTACTATATGTTCTTGTTCTTATCATAGATTTCAAGCCTCAATCAATATTAAGTGGGTTTAAATTTCACACTCAAAAGCAATTAGTAACCGTGAGATCTGAACTTTCCAATATAATTTATAAAAGACATCGGAACTTTAAGGATGCGAATGAAATATAATCGCGTTTTGAGGACATGATATAGTTAAAAATATTAATGTGAAAAGGTATTTCCTATTGGTTTATGAAAGCAAACCAAATAATATTTATCTTACCGGCACCAACATTATAGTATCAGCGAACACCAAAGCTGGCTTCTCCTCCTCACTAACAACTGTTTTGTGCCTTTACCAACATTTCTTATACTTTGCACCAGACTACAGACTCGACTTTATATATCATTGAATCAAACTTCAGGTGGTATCCCTCTCCAATATCACAGTAATGAAATAACATTTACTCAAACTACATTGCAGCAATCACACATTCTATCAACACAAACATGTTACTACAGGGGACATGAGAGATTTCATTCTGTCACATAATTTTGGTGCCAACTGAACCCATTTATATAATTATGTTTGTTTCTGGTTTTTGTTTGAGCACCTGATATCCCCAATCAATCAATAACACAATTAGCTAACACAATCACACTATGGCTTAATCTTTCCTTTACGCATATTGGCTAATTTAAGTGAAACAAAACATAATATTCACATCTTCCTACTTTACTTCCTACTTCAATACTTTGTGGAGACATTCCACACTCATTTATAAACAATAAATAAATGAGAGAAAAACTGCCAATAAAATAAAAAATATGTTAAACCCTCAATAATGAGAATTTAATAAATAAATACTCTAGTAATATATAAAGATGTCCTTGCAGAAAATAACTCATGCTTTTAGTTAACACCACAAATACTTCTCGGCTGTTACACCCCACTCAACTCTATCGTTCATTCTGTCACTGACATCACTTTCAGACTAGAAACACATTAAACGGTTAAAATTGCATTTCACAGTTAAAATAAAATATTGTGTTCGGTCATCATTTTTAAAAAATACTGGCAAAGGTAAAAACTTATAATTTTGTCTTTGAAATCTTTATGAAAATTGCTAGTAACCTATAACTATTCATATATTTCAAGCATTTGAACATATCCATACAAAGTGAAATATCCATCTTAATTTAAATGCAGTATCATTAAAATCTATTACTAAACTGTAATTTACATTGCATGGTACAAATAGTACCACTCAGTGCTATACTTTTGTGTCTGTCTGTGAACGAAATGATAATATAGATTACGTAAGTCGTCAGCAATGTGGGCTAACCTGCTTCACTATCACTGCTGTCTGAGGAACTGGTATCAGTGCTCGAGGATGAGTTGGACGAGTCAGAAGAACTCGAAGAGGACGACATGCCACCACCGAGGGCCTCCTTACAACCTTCTGCTGACAAAGAAAAATATAAATATACTTACACTTAAAAATTTTATTCTGTATTAGACTTTTGTTTGGCTTTTGAACAAAGGTCAAGTTTACTGAAATTCTATAATTTTGTTTTGTTGTAATTAACACCTTCTGTTCTTATTACATAAGATACTGACCTTTTTTCTGTTGCTGCTTTTTATTTGTTCCTAATTGCCCAGATACATCTTGCAGCCTTTTCTCTAATTCCTGTTTCTTTTCAGCTATTTGTTCATCCTTAGATTTACCAGACACTTTTCGATCTGTAAGTTGAATTTATTATAAATTTTTGGGGTAATTTATGTAAAAAATATACGAAAATTGTTGTTACCAACATTATTTGCCAAAGGGTTGGGATTGTACAGGAAAGATAGGCATAATGGTAAAGAGGGAGAAGGTAAGTTTTAAAAATTTCATTAACTACTATGTACTGTGTAAATTACGAACAAAAACATTTATAGGTTTTACAAGAAAAGTATGTAAAATGATATAAATAAAAACACGATTATAATCACTTACATACTTGTAAAGTTTGAATTCACGTACCTAGATGTCTCTCTTAATGAGATTATAGGAAGGAAAAGGAAAGATAAGGTATAGGATTAAGGTAAGGTAAATAATGTCGGTTCAACTCACAATAAGGCTTACGTGTCTTTTTCCGAAGACATGATGCGACATAGTTTTCAAGTTCCCGAAGTGTAGAAGGTTTGAGGGTTTCAAAGTCTATTTCAATCTCATCCGGATTAGAGTCCCGTAAAGAGGGCTCTCTGCTTTGGATAATGTGCACTACTTTACCCAGTTTGTCACCTGTTGAACAAATTATACAAAATCATTATTTCAATGATCTCTACAATATTAGCATTGTTGTTGCAGTAGGAAAAAGGAATTTGATTATGACAGAAACAATTTACATACCAGGCAGTTTGTTTATATCGAGCGAGAGCTGTCGCTTCTCGTCATAGGACATGGGTTTGGCCTGATCCTCGTCGTCGGTGTCGGGATGCGGCGGCACGTGCGGGGGCGGCGCAGCGGTGGGCGTGGAGCTCTTCTTCTTACCCGGAGCCGCGGCGCGCGCGCCCGCCTTGCCCCCTGCCGCCCCACCGCCACCGCCTCGCTTCGTACCAGTCTTTCCCCGAACATTGCTTGGAGCTATAATTACAATATAAAAAAAACTTTATGATGCTGCTATTGTAAGTAAGAAACTTACAAGTTTCGTCCAATGTTTACATAGCGTAAGCACAGTTGTGAAAATAAACTTACCCAAAGTCTCTGCAATATTATTGGCTTTAGCTGCATAAGCCGCTGCTGCATTTGCTTTGGGCACAGCATTGTTTGTTATTTGTTTCTTTTGCTTGTCCTTCATTTTTTTCTTTGCTTTCTTTTTGTTATTTGATTCTTCTACTAGTTTTCTCATTTTTTCTTGTAGTGCAAGTAATTCTTTTTCTAAAAGCTTAACTTTGTTATTTCTCTCTTCTTCTGAATCGTCAGATTCAGAATCTGATTCAGAGCCCGACTCTGAACTTGACGCCGAGCTTCCTTTATCCATATGTGGAACTCCTACGTGTACAGGTTCATCGGGAATCTTGGCGTATCTGTGAGACAACATTATTTTGTTACCGTTAAAATATTTATAATAAGCCTACGACATAATAACAACTACTACTAATTTAAAAAGATGAATACATGCTTAATTTAATAAATTTTGGGACCCGTACCTCATTTCAAAGACGTCTTGTAGTTTTCGAGCCATTGCGACAACATCGTGGTCTGGAGGATTATACTTGTAACAATTTGTGAATATTAGGCGGACATCAGCAGCAAATTCAGTGGCTGTCTTATACGCCCTATTGTCCATCTTTTGCTTAACAGTTCCAAGGTCCATTGGTTTCTTAATAATATCAAAATAATCGTGAAGTCCAAGCAATTCGGCATCTACAGGTTTGTAGAATGGCCATGCATATCCCTGTAGGAAAAAATATAAAATTTAGAAATAGAAAAAAAATATGAAATAAAATTGATAATTATATTACAAAAAAAAAACTTACTGAATGTTTCTTTGAAAACAATTCTTTCAAAATTTCATTACAACTCTTTAGAGCATCTGAAAGCTTTTCTTTACTCTTCGCAAGCTGGGGTGTCATAGCAGAGTGATGTGAAGCGCCTGCTCCACTTGGAGACAATCCACCCATTTTGAAGCCATCATCGCCCGTCCTACTCGCCTGATAGAAAAAACATTTTTTTATATATAAATACTGAATAATCAGTATTATAAGATTTTAATATGCTCATAACAAATTTTGTTTCTTACCTTTTTCTGGCGCCCACTCTCTCTCCTAGTGGAAATCTTTGCAGGTTTGGGACCACTTTGTTGATCAATTGTTGGTGTAGTGTATCCTCCTTCAAAAGAACTTCCCATAGGAGTAGTAGTATCGGCTTTTCTCTTCACACCCTTTTTTACCTAATGATAAAATATTGTAAATACATATTTCTTACTGTTCTCTAAACATATTTAATAAGTAGCATTTTTTTACAAATTATGTACCTTAGCTGGCTGAGTTTGGGATAGTGCTACTGCAGGTATTGTCGAGACAGGTGGGGCTGCCGGTGGAGTCACATGGAAACTTGACGGCTGAGTGGCGACCTACACAGAATTAGGTGGTAGTGTTGGTTATAGATTATATTTTTACATAAAACAGATACATCAGGGGTATATAGTAGTGGTAGGGTACCTGTTGCGGCAAGCCAGTGTGTGTGGCGGGCGGCGTGGCGGGCGGCGCGGGGATGGCGGGGGTGGTGGTGGTGTTGGTGGAGCCCACGAGCGCTGGGTGCGGCGCGCCGCCCGGCGGCTTGGCGGCGCGCGGCGCGGGGCTGGGCGCGCTCGCCGGCCCCGCCCCGCCTACAGCGCCCACTGCACCAGGCGTCGACGTGCCACGCTTCTTCACTCCACCCTTCCCACCCTTTGATGGTGTCTCAATTTCTTTCTCTTCCTTATCCATTTGCGCTATCTGAGGGTGCACATTTCTATTAAATTGATAATCTAATCAAGTACACCCAGCTCTAACACATTGTAGTTGTTTAGTGGATTTTCTCATACATACATGTTAGTGGTAAAAGCACCTTTTTATCCTTAATTTATACCCAATGGTCATGTTGGATTTATTAAGTTTTTAAATCTAATGATAAGTAAGTCATTAATAATAAAATTAATTTCAATTGACTAAAGTTTTTAATTATTAACATGTGTTGCTGACTTACCCGGTTTAGAAACAATTTCTCCAAAGTTTGTGCCATGACTACAACATCCTCACCAGGTTTGTTGTAGACATAGCAGTTGGTGAACATGGTATTGAAGTCTTGAATACATTCCTGAGCTGAATAGTAATAATTGGATTCAAGCCTCTTCTTTATTGTTCCTAAATCCATGGGTTTTTTAATTATCTTATGATAGTCCTAAAAATATAATAATATTATTATTTAAATGCGTAAAATAAACAGTTGCATATTATTTTATGATTCTATTAAACCTTGTACTTACAGGAAGGTTTAATTTTTTTGCATCTACTGGTTGGTGAAAAGGCCATGCAAACTGATGTTTCCATACTGCCTTCATCACATTCTTTTGTAGAAATTGCAGCTGATTGGTCATCCGCCCTTGCCGCCGCGCCGGCTCATCAGGCGGAGCGCCATTGACGGGCTCTGCCGTGGGCTATAGGCAAAAATATAGAAATATATTGACATAACAATTGGAGACTATGCATTTATCACAATATTTTCTAGTAATTGTTATTGCTTTCCAAAGAATTTGTAATAAATGGCTTATTTGAAGTAATTTTTTTAATGATTAAATAATTGACTCACACAGAAACTGAACAAGCTTTATGTCATCAAATTAAAAAACAATTAAATGAACATTAGTTAATATATGATGTTGCAACTTACCGTGCTGGTGGTAGCGAGAGGATCGACTGCCTGCTGCATTGTGCTGGAGTCAGCAATCTACCTGCCAAAGTGACACCACTACTGTAGTAGACAATCATTACAACCTAACTCTAGAACATTAAGGAGTAGTCAACAAAGAACTCTCACCTCAATTGTAACAAGAGGCTCATCCAATTTCTGACTAAGAGGCATCAGCTAAATCCTCTTATAACACTAAACCATTCTATCATAATATAAATTCTGTTGGTGCTTGTGCACCTAGATGCAGGTCATCCCATTCATAGACAAATAAAAATCCTACCTGAAAGAAATATATTGATATTTATGTTGCGGCTAGCTAAATATTTCTTTGGAGTTGTAAAAACATATCTACAATGGTACCATTAAACAGTCATTAAAATTTTACCTTGCATCTGATTGCAGGGTAGGGAAGTATTGATATTGGAGCACCAAACGCTGATTACACAGCAATGTCTTCACTTCTGCAACAAAATACACATTAAATTAGTTAATGATTTTGGGTAGTATATGTAGTGTACATCCAATCTAGCAATTACCAAGACTGGTTTCACTACACTAATTATTAATTTCAACAATACTAATTATATACTAATGAGCCATTACAAATTATTAAAACATTACTGAAGTGACATAATTATCTATGATATTAGTACAATCATCCCCATGCTGTTTGTGTGTTTAGTGTTTACTGTGCAGTTTTAACATGTTGTACCTTAACCAAGCAATTAGATCTAATAGAACCAAATAGTAGTGTTAACTTTGGTCTAATTTTTAAGCTTTTATACTATCTTAATATTGTCTTTGTCTTGTAAATAAATAAACATGATGTAAACTGAATACTTTGACACAAATCATACAACCAATATCTAAAAATGTCAATGTTTATAAGTGTACCTTAATTTGTACAGCGAAGAAATTAATAAGCAACAATGACCTTTTTTGATTCATATAGCCGTATTTACTTTAGATTTATTTAACAATGTCTTTAGATTTAAATATCTTAAAGATTTTTTTAAGTATTAGAAATTCTTAGTGTGTTAAATAATCAAAACACACTAACATATACAAGAATTCTGCATTATTCTATCTTATTATATTTCACAATATCATGCATATGATTATTAGAAAAGGGAAAGTTAGATTATATTATATAGCATCATCATTGCATTTTAATAATAAAGTAAATTTTATTAGTTTAAAGCTTCTTTCCCTGTCATCATAGAAAGGTCTTTGAATGCAATACTTGTGCTCAAGGTTGATACAGAGATCAGTGTATTAGGCACTAAGCATTTTTAGGCCAAATAATAATTTCATTTATTTATTTGTATATACAAACTCAACTGATTGCACCATTCTCAGAATAATTTCTTATCAATTATTTCGTTGACTATTGCCTCAATACACCAGGTAAACCAGTTACCATATAATATAGTCTTTTCACTGGAAAGAGTGCTTTTGCAAATATTATATTGTTGACATGCATCATGCATGTGAATCACTCATAACATGCATTTTTATCTATTGAATACTGATGTACCACTACCACCATCAACTAAATCAAGCTTTTGAAAGGGTGAAAAATGGGATTCTTCAAACTGGCCAAATGAGTCATCAGCAATATACATAGCAGCATGACGCTTTGGAGAGCGTAAAAACGTTCTAGAACATTCTTTTGCCTAAGCTTTAAAATTGAAGTGATTTACAGGTACCAGGTACAGAGGTAGAAACATCAATAAAAAATAACAAATTTGGCACGAATATATATTTGAATAAAATATTGATAACGAGACAAATTTATAACGTACAGCTTTGTTTCTTAACATATATTTCATAAGAATATGAACAAGTACATTAAAAGAACTAACTACTAAACAAAGTTTGATTTTAATACAATTTGATTATGGTCAATACTTTAGTCCATTTAAGATTGGATTTTCTATATTAGATACCATAAAATTATCTCAATTTCAGTAACTAAAAATGGGAGAAAATTGCCTTAAAGAGGCCATGAACATAAAGTTAAATATATTGCTTAATACAAGCAACATGCACACTCTACTATAACGAATTATGCAGCCCTATGAAAACAGCAACAAAATAGTACGAAAAATACATCAAATTAATACCAGTAAAGCTAAAAATTATGAAAAAAGACTTACGAAGAGATATTAACGCCAATATGGCGGATGAACTAAAAATACGATGTTAGAGTAACTTCTTCAAACGCAAAATGTATCGATTTGCTCCAGTCTAACAGTCACTCCACACAATAAACTAAATCATAGTTCTTTAATATTTGTATAAATTCATCGTCTTATAGTAACTAAATTCACTGAAATCTATAAACATTAAAGAGAAGCACAACACGACCTCCGAAGACACAACGAACTTCAGACATGGCGGCCAAACAAGACCCAAGAATGACGAGCGTCTCTAGGCATAGTAAAAATTTTCATTTTGCACTGGAAAGGAAAAATCTATAAAATCAGCATTAGAAAATGTAGAAAACGGGTGTATTTTAATTTTTCATTGGAATATTTATCAGGATTTCATTTATATCATAGGATTGATTACGATAGCGCTGTGAGCTAAAATACAATTCTTTAGATTTTGCTACGCATAGAAATTATTGTTTTTGATTCAATAAAACGATAAAATGTTGCAAGTACAAAAATATTAGAAATGTGAATAATTTTAAAAACATCTGACTTAGAAAATTAATTTTAAAACGTTATTTTTTTAATTTCTATATTTAAATAACGAGCACTTTTTCCTACTAAGCAAGTTTAGTCTTTAGGTGTTTCAAATAACCATGTTTGTGGTTTGAGTACACGACTACTGTCAAAAGTTAGCCTAAAGCTAGAAATTATTTTTAACAAGTAAACAATATTAGTATTGTTAAGAAGATTGGTACTACTTTTTCTGTGCAACGAGCATAGTTTAGTATTTTCTTTAGTGAAGCATTTCTTGCAAATAACCCTATAACTACAATAGCATAATCAACAATTTTCAAGCATTTCATAATTTGATTTTGAGATTATAAAAAGTGGATGCGCGATAGGGCTTTCGCTTCCTATAAACAGAAAACTCAAAAAATGGTCATAAAATTCAAATGTAAGTAATCTACTTCACCAACAGGCAACTATCTCAATTTCTACTAACGTTTCAGTTTGGTCAATGATAGATTTGGTTGTATGATCGCTGTTACACTGTTAGTGTCCCTAAATCAGGCGGTTGAGACCGCCCCCTAAGTTTCTAAGTCCCGATATGGTCCCGATGAATCGTGCCGTCTGATCGCCTCTATATATGTACACACGTTAGTAAATATATCACTGCTGCAGATATATAGGTATAGAACAGCGAATGATTTAAATATTTTAGTTACAATTATTAACAATAAAAGTTTTTTTTTTAAACTTTCTATCCTAAAAGATTTTTATTATCCAGTAACTATTTCTTTTAGGGCCCCGTTTTACCCGAAGACCAATAATAAAAGTTAGTTTTGTTCAACTTTTGTTCAACGACAGGTGCGACTTTCGGCGGCTGTATATTATACTGACGTTGCATGTTGTCACGCGTCAGTACTTACAATAGCATGTCATGTTGTAGTTTTATAATGTACGTTACCGTAGCGTGGCGTATCGTGTTGCAACTTGCACCAGAAACGTACTTCACTACTTACCGGTTGCAGATTGTTTACTTTACATTAAATAAAAGAATACACTATAAATATATATAATAAGAAACTCGCAAGGCGTATCTAGCATGGGGTTCTGTCACCTCACGACAAGCCACGAATGAATTTCTGGCTTCAGTTACGGTACGCATTTATTTATTTAGGGCTGAGTTTTCGATAAAATTGTTGCTGAAGAATAAAGTTGTTACTGTCACTATCTTATACAAACATTCTGAGGCGACAGCATCATAATTATTCTCGAGGTAACTTTTAGCTAGCCAATGATGTGATATTCTAGCCATTGAAAAATCAGCCCATTTTCTTGTCACATGAGTATAGATTTTAACAATGAGAAAGTCATTAATAATATTTAAGCTGGAAATATTAAAAAAAGATTATTTTTTTTTAATTTAAGGGAAATTCAATATTTCCCTGAAAAAAAAAGTGATTAGTAAATATAAGTAAAATAGGTTATATCAGATCTATTAAATGAAACATAGATAAAAAATTGTAAACAAACCGACACTGTCACAACTGACACTTTTGACACTGACAATTCATGTCATTAGACAAACGTCAGATACAGTCGCTTCAAGATTCATCTTTCATATTATCAAATTGCCTGCCATGGTTTGAGTGTGATTTTAGTGAGCTTAAAGTCGATCATGAAATGATTTGAAATTGTTATCTGTAAATCGTAGAACAACAAAATTTTATCTGATTGCGTTAATTTGTTTTCGGAATTATTTACATTAATAAGTGCCACGTGAAAGTTATAAACTGAGTAAGTGCATAATGATAATATTATGTAAAAGATGCTGTATAAAAGTTAAAGACAAATTTATTGTCTTAACACAGTGTTTTTTCTTATAATTTTATAACTAACAACATTTAAATAGAATTTTACTATTGGTTTATTATTTTTAGTGCATTAAAATCTATCCTTTTTTGTGTTTAGTAAATTAATTTTTCTACATTAATTGCAAGGTCTCGCATATACTTAATATTCTCTTTATATTGTAAGTAAAGGTGTACACAGGTGTGCAATGTGTATTGTAGCAATTGTAATAAATAAACTAGCCTTATAGGTCTGTTACAACTTGTGATAAAAATTGCTCCAGTTTACACTTTCACTGTTCAATTAATGTCAGTAGAGTACTCTTGTCTGTGAATGGTAAAAAATACTTTCTAAATATATCAAGTGCTTTCACTCTTAATACTGTGTTGCTTGAATGCTCTAAATAATTTATTATTAACCTGTTGCTTGCTTGTGAGAGGCCTTGAAATCATTAAAAAAAGTTAGTATGAATATATAATTTTATTTTTAATGTACAATAAAACAATTGCATTAATTTTCGTAGAGTGATTTACTGTGATAGTAGTATGTTTTGTTTATTAGTACAGTATTTATTACATTGTCTTGTCTTATTTGTGTTGGTTGCTATCAGAAAGTGATAGATAATGCTTGAAGTATTGTTATGTGAAGGATATGTTTATTCTATCAAATGTTGTACCCACAGTGATATTAAAATAGTACTGAGTAGTAAACAGTAAAGTAATTTACTGAAACATAATAAGCTATGTTTTATTATTTTATTACCTTTGATGTTTTATAAACTTGCCATTGCTGTAACTGTCTGATGCCATAGTTTTAAAACATCTAACAGTTGATGAAGCACTCGGTTCAAGGTAATAATATTCAACACTTATTTAATTTTGTGTATAGACTGCACTTTAAACTACAGTACTCCATTATAATGGTGAAATACTAAATTATGAAGTTCATATTTAAAATGACATGAAAAAATGTTCAGCTGTTACTAAACATTAACATATAAATAAATTACTTATTTGTACATTTAAGTATATTTCAAGAATCATTTATTTAATTGATGATTACAAAAATATAAAACATTAATGGGTGTGGCTAATAGTAATAACATAAAATATTGTTATAATATAATAAATGCATATTTGTAGTTAATCCATGTCTTTTTATTTTTATTTTACAGAAATGGACACTCACATGAGCATGGGGCATGCCCATCATGATCATGGCAATCATATGAACATGAACCATATGATGCCAGCGGTAGACCATGACATGTCAATGAATTCCACATTCCAAGGTGACATCATATCAGTAAGTTTTTTGATTTAATATTATATTTATAAACATTTGAATAAATGGCCATTGATGATGTTTTGGTATTAGGTCCCATTATTTCAATTTCAACTGACCTAATTGGTTGTTGCACTTTGATCTTTAACATCCATGTTTTTCTCCTCAAAAGCAACATCATATTTACTGATTTTCCCAATAATTTTATAGCTGTGTGAGTTATGTCTTTGGAGCCCATTCCTCGTCATAACCCATTGTTAATAAATCCCCAATCCTCAAAAAGGTGGCAATGCACTTGTAACTGTGCTACACTGGGCAGGCTCATGGGACGAATGGAGCAGACACTTCAGGCGCTAAATCCTAAAGGGCGCGTAAATGCTTTAAAATGGTGGGCTTCAACATCCGGTGTCTGGTAGTATTATTTTAAAGGGTATTGAAATTATATTATTTCAAAGATCCCAATCGACTATAGGCGATATTATTGTAACTCCATAGCATAATCGAGACCTTCGTGTTCCATACTTTATTTGCACTTACAAATGGTAAAGGTATAAGTAAAATATGTTTATTAAGTATTAGGTGCAAACATAAATGGCGCCATAAATGGATCTCGCTATGATTTCTTTCTTTTGATTGGAATATTTACTTTGGGCCAACCTAAGGTAAATTTTACGATACTGATGTTAGAGAGCGCTAATTGGGTAGTTTCCTAAGTCAAAAATAAATTAATTCGATGTTTCAATACAATAAAATATTGAAAAATAGCTATAAGTACTTTCATTCATCGATCGATCGATACACTAAATTTTAGATATAGGTCATTTTTAGGAAATAAGTACTAAGCTAAATGACGTAAAAATACTATGACGTCATAACTCAGTATTTCATACAAATTTCATAGTGTCCTTTTTGACATTTTTTTAAAAGTATTGTATTTGACTAGTTGGAAACTATCGTATTGCTTACTATCAGGCAGTCCATTACCTACTGGTTTGTCGCCAACCACACCATCACATTAAAAAACGCAAACGCATTGACTTTTTTTTTGGGTGTCTGCCGATTTAGTGTCCTTCCTTCCTGTCTTCCATTGAGTATTGCTTATTACCTAGAAATACAGACTCATTGACAAATCCCAACTTTTGCCCATTAAACAACACACTACCTAATAACCTCTCACGTTTTGAAAGTTCAATTGAACATAATGAATTTTCTTTTGTTTCGTTAGGCATTAATTTAAATGACCATAATTGTTAGATACATAATTAGTATATTAGCGCTTAACTTAACAACACTTGCCTTGTTTACCTAATTCGTTTAAGATAGGTAGGAAAAAATATCAACGAAATCTGTTTATTTTAAGATAACCATGATCCGAATTATTACTAACATAATGAATTAAAACCAGTGTTGGTAATAGATACATGTTAAACTGTTCGCCCTCTGCCGACCTACGAATCGAGGTATCAATACTCATATGGATAATAGTAGGTACTTATCATTTGTTCTAAAAATAAATTAATTCAACCAGACATTAAATCTACTTTCTTTGCGTTCGGTTATTGGCAACACTTGTGATAAGATCAACGAGTATTTACGTAGGTATAAAATTATTTCCAGTTATTGGATTAACCTTGTAATTTTATTTGTCTTGTAAAATATATTATTACACATATCTATCTACCTAGAAATTGTACGTACCTAAGTATATTATCTCATACCTGCATAAACTGTACAATGGCATCATTACATACATTTTAACTATATTAAAATAATCTTCTTCGTTGGTCGTTTGTCGAAGGTATTCCCGGGCTGGGCTAGATAGGTTAGATGTTAGATATCGGGTTTTCGTAATTCTTAGTAGTCTATACCTGAGAGTGCGTCGCTAGCCTTTTGAGGTTTGGGATTTCAAAGAATTTTGGATTGGGGAAGGGGAAAGGGAAAAAGGATAGGAAACCATAACGAGTGAAAATTCACGGAACCAATTGTTTATTTTCTTAAAGTACCTAGGTAGATAGCTTACCTACCAATGCAGCGCCCAAGTGATGCTTGAAACTTCAAGTTCAAATAAAATTAATTTCAAGCATCACTTTCTATACCTACTGAATACCACTCGTCATTGAAAGTCATTGGAGATAAATATTGGTGATATCCGTATCGTGAATTGAATGCGAATTATGGCGATATTGTCGGAAATTGAGCCTTCAGGATATAAACCATAAATCCCAATTTCCATTCTATTGTGTCTGACGCGCAGTACACTTGTTTATCAACAATTGGTGGTTAAAGCTTTCTGCGTACGCTGCACAATGATTGAGTCATTCACAGTTCAGTTGTGCTTTATATTAAACAATCGGAGGTAATCTATTGAATTCGTTAAGACGACCCAAGCAAAGGGCAAATACGTGTGCCTGTTCTCGAAACGACTCAATGTTTTTTTTGTTTGTACCCACGTAACTTGGCATTGGATTGTGCAGGTATTATATCACCTGCTCGTTAACCTGCATGATAGACAAAATTAGGTATCATATAAATACATACATAGATTATAACTCTGGGATGAGAAATTGATTGCTGAGAAAAATACCCGTTGTCCCCTCTGGTTTGTGCCAATCGGAAGTATACAGTTGGGAAAACTGACACCCCAGGGGACAACTTTGGAGGGGACTAACAGGATACATCTTACTGCACCTACTTAAGATTCTAAAAATAAAAGAGCATATATACCTACTTCTCTAAAAACAGCAGTACCTAAGACATGATAATGATAGTTCTTGTTCGCTCCACATCCATAAAACAATCTGGTCTTATCGCTCACTCGCTGATGGTTGTGATGATCATCAAAATTTCGTCTACATAATTATGATTTTTATATTATATCAGCTCATCATCGGACTATACCTTGTTTTTCTTTGTGTTAGGATGGCAAACGAGCAGACGGATTACCTGCTAGTAATGGACGGAGTAGTTACGAGTGCGTTGCCAACCTTTTTGGGATTAGGGATTTGGAAATTTTGGGGTAGCGGAAGGTTTGGGCTTCCGGTAACCTCACTCACATGGCGAAACACAACGCTGTGGTTCTTTCACGCCGGTTTTCTATGAGGTCATGGTATAGCTCGATTCCAGCCGACCCATTCGTGCCGAAGCATGGCTATCCCATACTTTCAATACTCGTTTTCTTTTTCAGAACACCTTCAACGGCAGCGATGACAGTATAAATTACAAATCAGATTTAAGAGCACATGCACATCACGGACACGGCGGACATGAAGGTCTCAGCGAACATGCTGGAGGTCATGACATGGCTATGACTGTAATAACCCTAATACTTATCATTTCTTCTGCCATTTCCTAGTAACTAATTTCTTAAGGTTTTCGCTTAAATTGATAGTTAGCCAAACATATTCGCTTACTAAACGTACCATGATTACTAAACAAAGTTACACCTATTATGCTATAGCTACTTACATAACGCTTACGATGCACTTTCGCCACGCCTCATCTACTTGAAGGGCATTGCTGCCAATACGTTTCGTGTGCGAACGACCTTATTTGAAGACCAGGGCGGGCCTGACAAGTATCGTTATTGATTCTGACAGAAATCTATCCCCAAGTCTGATACTAAATAAAGATGAAAATTTTTACAAATTTCTGACTCTCGGGAATTGCTATGCTGCTATAACTATCGCTTGAAATAAACTTCTATTTTATTTTAAAATTGTTTCAGTAGGTTATTAGGAGGGCTTATTATTATTAGCAAAACCCTTGTCATATTTATGTTATTAAAAGCATGTTTTTAGCTTAAAGTTTTGTGTAAAAGACAGTAAAGATACGTAATGTATATGTAACACATTTACATGTTTTATTTTTAGTTTCATGGAGGTTATAATGAAGTCATTCTCTTTTCATGGTGGAAAGTGACAGACATTGGAGAATTCGTAGGATCTTTCTTTGCAGTATTCTTAATGGCTTTACTTTATGAAGGGTAAGAATTTTCTTTTTTCACACATAGGCTATGTGTTATTCCATCTTAGTAAATATTATTATCTTGTAAGCTTTTTGGTATAAGTTAGGTAAGTAGATACATACATACATAAATCCATATTTTTCTACTAAGTAGGTACCTAATATTCTACCGTTTGTTTAGGCATTTACTAAAAGTACTTTTTGCTTGCTCATCACTAAGATTATTATAAAAAAGTGAGTTTCAACATAATAGACTCATATCGTTCTAAATGTCCCAACTCTGTTGTTTCAGCTTAAAATATTACAGAAAACATTTACTATGGAAAACGTATACAGGGCTCCAATATTGTGCAGTGTCACCACCAGACAAAGGCGTAGCAAATCTATGCGCCCCAGATGAACCGCAAGTTATACAGTTGAGTATTTCTATTGAATTGCTACTAAACAAATAAATTTTATTTCACTATGAAGATTCACTAGCAAGGCTGTTTGCTAAGTAATTATTTTTGGCATTAAGGAATTTACTGGGACTACTTAGAACACAAATTACACACAGATAAAACAGAACACCTACCTGTATAAGTACTTATTTTATAGCTTAAATTGGAAGTATATATTTTTTATTTCAGTTCAGTTTTTTATATTTGATTTAATTTATTTACCTACCTATTCAAAAATACTTGCCTTTGCCCGCGTGTAATTCAGGAGCTTATCTCACGGGATCTTCATATTGGGTTGAAAACTACTAATACTAAATCTCATCCTAATTGGTTCAGCGATTTTAGCATATAGACTGACAGAATTACTTTTGTTTTTATAACATTGATATAGTTTACTCATCTCTGTCTGCCTTGATCTTAAATCGTGACTCATGTCGCTACTATGTCTTACTATTTGTATTGTAACCATAACATTAAATATTTACATAACGTAAGTCCTTAGAAAACAATAATTAGATATGCAGCTTAACAGTAATGAGAAAGTGTGGCTAATAGGATAGAACATTTGTTTCCAATGTGTTAAATTTGAATTTACATGGACTTAACTAGCTTGAAGTAAATACATAGTTATTATATCTATACTTATATTATAAAGAGGTAAAATTTGTAAGTTTGTATGTAGGGGATAAAATTCTAATACTTATTCGGACAGTACTTTATATCATAAATATTTCTATATGCCTAGGGGTAAATGATGCGCTCTGCGTAGGTACATCCTATGGGGAACACAAAATTATTCCATTTATTTACATTCTGATAACAAATAGAAACTGTCCAGCACTGATAGAAAAAGAGAGATGAAATAACATTTTTATACTTAACATTTTTGACTAAGTCCCATAAATGTAGTTGCCTAATGGAATGGGTTAAAAATGTCTAGTAACAGTAATAATATAAAAATATGATCTTGGGAATAATTAAAAAAAAATTGCATTGTCAATCAGTGAGGCCAAAAAGGGCAAGGGAAAATACCATAGTGAATAGACAATATTTCCCAGTAAAATATGTTTTGTTGAATTAGTGTAATCAGTTATGTATTCCTATTTGGGTTTGTTTCATTAACTTTATGTGATCTTGTACTAACAATGTATGTGTTCTTTTTAAGGCCGGTGCCCCATGTCCTTGAAAGAAATGTGTAAGTATCTATATCAACTGAAACAAAATATTAATTACACAAGACCTTGGGCCTTGGAAACTGTACTAAGCTTTGTTTTTAATTTCAGTCCTACAATGATGAGCACAGCGCACGCGTGGCAGACAGTGCTTCATGGATTACAAGTTTTAGTCAGTTATATGTTGATGCTGGTATTCATGACCTACAACACATGGTTATGTGCTGCAGTTGTCCTGGGATCAGCGACCGGGTACTTCCTCTTTGGATGGCGTGAATCTGTTGTAGTAGACTTTACAGAACATTGCCACTGATATACACTAAAGCACCTAGGATTTGTGAGCCAGATTAGTATTATTTTTTCTTGAATTTATTTTTATTATACATGTTATATCTTGTTGTTTGAGCTCAAAATATATACAAATATGGAGTATTTATCATGTTTTAAGAGGAAAGCCTTGATGTAAGTACTTTGGGCAACATTTATACCAGTTAATATAATATACTTTTTAGGATCATATATTATATACTTAGGTTATTGTAAACAATATAATGCTTTGGACAAGACATTGTTTATTTCGTTCATTACACATCCTTCCAACAACATTACAATAAGTATTGTATGCCCTGCATTCAGCCTAGATAATTGGGCATGATTTTATCATAGAGGGGGTAATAAGTAAAATGTGTAATTTCTAATTATTGTTAATGCTATTATTTAGTATTTGCCATGTTAACTTAAAAGTTAAAATAATGCCAAGAAAAGTAATTTATGTTGGAATTAAAGTGAAAAATAATTACAATCTACAAACTAACTCCCATTATGGCAAAATCTTATCAAATAACATGCTGGGTATTATGCAAAAGCAAGCTAACAGTATCTGTAAAAGTTTATTATCACAGTTATCAACTAAGCAATTAAAATAAAACCAATTACAATAATAACTACTACTATATTATATACACAAATACCAATAAATTCAAACACATACTGTATTCTTGCTTTGCTTTATCCTCACTACTTCTCTACCATTAGATGTTCTTAAAAAAATTACAAGTACCTATTTTAACACTGTAAAATGGGTTGAATAGAATTGGGTAGTTTCCTAGGTCAAAAATAAATTAATTTGATGTTTTAATACTATAAAATATTGAAAAATAACTATACTTTTATTCATTGATTGATCAATACACTAAGTTTTTTTTTTTTTTTTTAGCTAATTATTATGAAATAAGCAATGGAAATAAGTAAACTATTTGACGCAAAAATGTTATGACGTCATAGCTCAGTTTTTCATACAAATTTCATAGAAAAGTATCGATTTTGATGTTTAAAAGTATTGAATTTAACTAGTTGGAAACTACCATATTTTAGGGGTGAATAGAGTGGCAGAAATGGGATATTGGGTATTTTTTCTACTACCTATATTCTCCCATTGAATATTCTTTTCACAATGTTTCACCATATCAAACACCAGTTTCAGTTACCCTTGTCCTCTTCAGAATGTCTGAGATGACAATGTTTTTTCAGATTAGAACTACTGTTACATTTGTAGGTACAATATTCACATTGGTAAGGCTTCTCTGCTGTGTGTATCCTTTTATGTGCTTTCAAAGAATTAACAAAATTAGTCCTAAATGAACATCTGTCACACAGATAGGGTTTTTCATTTGTATGAACTCTTTTATGTTTGATTAGATTTGAAGATAATTTACATGAATAACCACAATTAGGGTAATCACATTCAAGTTTTTGATCTGAAGTTAGCTGTCTGTGGTCTCCGGTATTGCAGCTCCTGGAAATATAAAATATAGAAGTTTTTTTTTTGCAGTTATTTTCTCTAGCACTCAATTTTTCTGTGTAGAAATCAAAGCATCTGTCTATCCAGGCATTACTGTTAAAGAGGCTCCTACTTATCACATACCTAAGCCAAAAACTACTTCAAAAGTGTACAATAATGATTTAAATAGTCTCTAAACTATAGTGTTGTATGGAGTTCGTTTATTACCTGTGTTCTTCCATTGGTTCACATGAAACAATGACTTCAACCACATCTTGCGATTTCTGTTCTTGTTTAAGTTGCTTTACAGGCTTATCTTCACTTATTAAAGTCTGTTTAGCTTTCTTGGCTTCCGATAACATTTGAGACACTATAGACCGTGGCTCCGGTCCAAACATAACAATATTTTTTACAGCAGGCCTCCCTCTTTTGTTTACCTCCCTCGAATCCGGCAACTTAGATGGTGTTTTACTAATTTGCAACGGGTTCTTCTCATCCATGGTAACAGAAAGTTTTGGGAAATAAAAAACTCGGATGTTAGTAAACAAATATGTTTTTTAAAGGTTTGTCTATAAAAATAAATAAGATTTGTTTATCTTTCTCTACGTAGCAATTGTTTTTTTAATTTCAAATTTGAAAAGTTCCTTCTGAATAATAACAATTTATATTTATAATAGCTCAAGCTTATGTTTTATTTTAAATAAGTTTTGCGTGCGGTGTTAATGTTATTGATCGGCTATCACTGTCAAGTGTCAAAGTCATGCGAATTTTGATGCCAGTTGCTATTGCCAATATAATTTTTAGCTTCCTAAACTCAGGCCATAAAAAAGTATAATTTCTCCATGATCCTAACACAGATCTTGCTAATGCAAATAAAATTCTGACTTTTGTGACCATGCCCTGGTTCTTGAATTTTCGCCACATATGTGTAGAGTAATTCCCACTACAGTATGTGAAGACCATAGATTTAGTATTATAGGTGTGTGGTGAAGACACACTGTATGGTATTTGAATGATCAATGAAGCTATATTTATATAGTTCTAGACCTCAACAATGAAACATAACCAAATATTGCAACGTAATCGTAAAAGTCAACGACAGGGGCAACTCAGAGTTGCCCCTGTCGTTGACTTGTTGTATATTGTAAGTGAAAGTTGTATACCGCGATGACAGTGGTAAAAATGATGGGATGTCATTGAAAACTGCCCTAACTGCCCTTTCCGTCCAATTTTTATTTTAAATCATGTGGCTCAGCGTCGAAACATAAACTTACATCAATAATGATTAGACACCAGTAAAACCAGATAGGAGTAGAGTTGCGAGTGCATTGCCGGCTTTGGGGTGTTTGCGATTGTAGTATTGAGATACGAGTATTTAGAACTCAGGTACTTTGAGGATTAGAGATTACTAAATTTTGGACTTGGGATTCCAGTCTCCCGCAGACCACATCTGAAGCAAGGTAATTATTTATACTGTGTCTGAAGTTTGTACCTCTCTACAATGTGAATAGAAGAATTATACAAATTATTTGATTTATGTTTTTTCTAATTTTGGATCTGGCTAGTATTTTACCCCATTTTTTTCTATTTTGCAGATTGTGACTACGTAAAGGCAACTAAGTTCAGTATTTAAACGTAAGAATTTTATTTTACATGTTTGTTATCATTCTACACTAGCGGCCCGCCCCCGCTTCGCACGGGTCCAACTATCTCGCTATCAAAGGGTCACTTTTTACTAATCTTCCCCTCTACTTTTCTAATATTTTCTTCGATAAGAACCTTCACCTGACAATAACAAACACAACAAAAAAAGAATTAGCAAAATTGGTCCAGGCGTTGTTGAGTTATGCGCTTACCAACACATTTTGCGATCCATTTTTATATATAAAGATATAGCTAGAAGAATCGAGGGTCATGCTATTTGAAAAAAAAAAACAAAGTAACGATGCTGTCAATCACTGTCATCAAGTGTCATCTGTCTAAATCTAAAAGGAGCGGCGCGGCCTTCTTCTTAAGTCGCCGCATACTACTTTATTCGTTTGATTTATTTTCATTTTAGCTGTGCATTGAAGTTTTCATAAGTAAAATAACCCGAGGCGGTAACATAAAATTCACAATGTCTCAACACGAGCTTTCCTGTGGCTTAGAATTTACGTCTACTCCTGATTTACAAGCATGTTTATCAGAAAGTCTGCGTAGTAATTATTCTTTTGTAGTATCACCAATAGTTCATCCTCGTTTTCGGAGACCATGTGCAGGTCCCGGTAAGGTTGGTGGTTTTACAAGATCAGATATGATCCTGTCACCTAATGACTGGACTTCTAGAATGGTAGGAAGATTGTCTCCTTACCTGAACGTGGACTCCTCTTCCGCGATCGTCCGGCAACGTCATGAAGACATCATGAATGAAGAACTAAATTACTGTAAAGGTCTTGGTCTTCCAGCTATTATGTTGTCTGTGCATGGTAGAGAATCTAATAACTTGACTAGAATTCTCAATACATATTTTGATTCTAGGTTAGTACACTTTTCTGTTCTTAAATATAATATTGTTTGTATAGAAGAATCTAGGTTTTTATAATCCCCTTAAAAAACTTAACTGACATATTTTTACAAAAAAATTAAATGAACACTATATTTCAGTCATCATCCATCTTTAATATGGGCCCGAGTACCTATGTTATGTACAAAAACAATGAAAGACTGTGTTAATGAAGGGGATGAAGCTGCCCCCTTCAATGAGCCTTGGCTATGGTGGTCCAAGTTCCATGAACGCTTGGAGTTTGATAAGCGTGTGGGAGTAGCCCTGGAACTTTCAGCTGATTTGCCACCTGAAGATGTGATAAAAAGATGGCTGGGAGAGCCAGTGAAGGTGGTTATTGTGCCAACCTCTATTTTCTATAACAATAAGAAAGGGTATGTATAATCAACCTCTATGGTAATATTATTGTGATGTCAAGTTCTCAGGGATCATTAAGACTTACTTGAATGTTATAGATTTCCAGTGCTATCACGACCTCATCAACAGTTGGTAGTAAGTTTAATTGAACATGAGGCTCAGGTCCTAGTGACAGGGGCTAGGAGGTCCAATGTGGAGTACTACCTCCAGTTTTTGTATAGAATCTGGAAGCGAAGACCCTACTTTGGTGATGATCCTATGTTGAGTTATGCTAGAGGGTAAGTTTTAATTCATTAAATCTTTTTGCCAAATAATAAAATGTTTTGTTCAAATTTTGAGTTAAATGGAAAAAATTAGGAGGATTAATTAAGAAAATATTATAATGATTTAGGTGGGAAGATTACCTGCAGACTCCACTTCAACCTTTAGCAGATAATTTGGATACACATACTTATAATGTTTTTGAAAAGGATCCAATTAAATATGACCAATACCAAAAAGCTATTGCACAAGCTTTGACTGATTTGCAAAAAGGACCAACAAATGTGGTAAGTGCAAATTACATATAAATATTTGAAAAAAAAAAAAGATTTTTAATGAAATTATTTCTTAAAAATTAATTTGCATTTTATGATATTACAGATAAATACTGATATTAGTACAGCAAATGCACAAGAGGTAGGACAAGGTGATAATGCAGATAGCAAAAAGAAAACCTACACAGTAATGGTGCTGGGAGCTGGGAGGGGACCATTAGTGAGAGCCACACTTAATGCTGCAGATATTACAAATAGTAAAGTTAAGGTAAATGTTAACCCTTGATATAATTTACAAGTTTCTGCCATTCAATATAGATAGACAGTCAGCATATAGATTTCATCATCCTTGTTAAATTTCCCTTATTCCATTGTCCCATTAACTATTACGGTCCTGATTTTCATTCATATTATTTACTTGACCCTGCCATTCAGGGCAGCAAATCGGGAATAGCTAGAATGAAGAGAATTGTTTTATAATACTGTTGAAAGTATACTGAAGAAATTAATTTCAGGGTAGCTCTATGTGTTGCCCAAATAATATTATTTTCTTCCTCTGTTCCTAACCCTTTTAAATAACAAAACAGGTTGTGGCTGTGGAAAAGAATCCTTGTGCTGTAGTAGTGTTAGCAGCTCAAGTCCGTGAGGTGTGGCGTGACAGGGATGTTGTGGTTGTTCCTGGTGACATGAGGCAGATCAATTTATCACCAAAGGCAGACATCATTGTATCAGAATTGTTAGGTATACAAGAAATATATTTTTCTGCATTATTAATCTTTCTCACACTCTAAAATTAGCTCAATTTATTAATGAAGGTTTAATTTGCAGGATCATGGGGTGACAATGAATTGTCTCCAGAATGTTTGGATGGTGCTGCAGGCCTCTTGAAGCCAGGAGGTATATCAATACCTTGTCAGTACAGATCCTATGTGGCACCCATTTCATCACCTCGGTTGTGGGCAGCAGCTAAAGTGGCTTCATCTGTTGCACAATCAAACCATAAGGATAAAAATCTGGAAACCCTATGGGTTGTTTATATGCAGAATAAGCATGATATTGCTGAAACAAAGGTACATAAAATAACTGCATTGGCAACTATTTATCATAAGAGGCCAATAACCAACCTGCCTTAACATTCTAGTCTGCTTTATTTTAAACTATTTCTTCTACTTTTAGCTTGTTTTTACATTTGACCATCCAGCAAAAGGTGCGAGGGACCATGAAGGACAGGAAATGGTGGATTACAGAGGCTTGCCTGAGACAGATAATAGGAGACAAGAAATAATAACTTGGGAAGTACAACAAGATAATGTGATGCATGGATTTGGAGGATACTTTGATTGTACATTGTATGGAAAAGAAATGATAAGCATAGTACCTTCCACACACAGTCCAGGAATGATATCATGGTTTCCAGTATTTATTCCTATAAAGGTATTTATTTTATTGTAAAGAAAGTATTTACAAACATATCTTTGGTAAAAAAATCATGTTAATATTACAAAATCTTAATATTTCCAGACACCCCTTCGTGTACATAAAGGTGAAACAATAACAGCAAGATTTTGGCGCTGCACTGATGCCCGCAAAGTTTGGTATGAATGGATAGTTGAAGTGGGCAACCGTTCAACTACACTGCACAATCCTAATGGAAGAAGTTCAGAAATGAAGTTGTAAATTATTGTTGATTTATAAGAAAAATAAAGACATTACAGAAAAAAAAATATTATTTATTTTCTACAATAAGTTTTACTATCATAAGACATTGCACACATCACAGTTTCTGTTATCAGAACTAATCTATACATTCTATAAATATAGCTTTAAAGTTATTTACAACAAAATCATTTCTTCACCAGTCGCACAATATTCATTTCCTTGTGAAAGTCATCTATGTCTTGGTCCCATCTTTTCTCAAAATAAATACCTAAAAAAACATTTAATATTATCACATGATCACATTACTGCAAAGAAACAAAAGCAAGTTAGATTAGAAAATTAATTATCTGTATACCTTGCAAGAATTTGGCATTGTTTCCAGTTTTGATGGCCCAGGGCAAGTAATATTTCAGATATAACTGGCGATGTTTGGGCTTTAGTCTGGCTGCTCCCCATATCCCACCATTGATGCACATGGGCAACCTAGTTTGTATACCTTCAACCCATTTCACTGTAACCTTGAATAGTATAAAAAAATATTGAAGCATTTATGTAAAAAACAAAAAGTAATTAAGTACTTCAAGTTCATTCACCTAATATTTACCTCTCCTAGCATGGTTGTTCTCATAAACAAAGTAGCATGAACTAAATCATGTACTTCTCTATAACGTTGCATCACATATGCTAACTCAGGATCTTCAATAAATTGTACTGGTAAACGAGAGTCCGCCGTTATATTATTGTCAGTCATAAAATCCGCGTAAACACGGCCTAGTGTGTTTTCTGGCATTTGAGCCAGTTTATCAAAACAAACAGTTTTAGAATTAATGCGCGGCTTCTCTTTGAGTATTTCAGAACCTTCTTGTGTCTCAGATATTTTTTGTTGCATGTGTATTAGAGCGCTTTCTCCAGTGACTTCACCTAAACAAGCAATCATGTCACCTCGATGAGGATTTAATAAGGAAATAGCTGCTGAACCAACAGTTAATATTGCTTTTTGAAAAGGATTTGCGGCTATAAAATTTTTCTTCATTTCTTCTGCAAAATTGTTACTATTAGTCGAAGTAGTGTAACATCTTATAAATCTAAAAGAAGACCGCATTTTAGCAATAATTTTCTGTATCTATTTAACGTGAGATATCAACAATTAATATGTTTGAAACAACAAAGTCACAGGTCACAGTTGTATAATTTTAACTCAACTGTCCTGAAAATAACCTGAAAATGTATTGTTGATAAATATATGTCAATTGTCAATGCCAAGTTAAAAAATTTCAGTCTCATAGACAAAAATAATAATTGTGATTTGTTTTATGTTGCGACCAAAGACCTTGTACTTAAAACTAGACTGTGCACCAAATTTTTTTGTTTAGCTAAAATGTGCTTTATCCCGTCATGTATAGGGTAGCTATTTTCTTAAAAGCGTTAACAAACTAAAACCGGTCCAGGCGAGAGGGCTCCTCACGGTAGTGTGTCCTTGTCTCACATCTTGCCAGCTCAACTAACCTTAGGGGTTGGTAGAAATGGTAGAAAATTAAATATAATTATGTTTTATGTTTTAACAAAACAAACAATTCATAAACTACAAAACATATATAAATGTCTTTATAGTCCTTATAATTAATAGTCAATTTGCGGTATTATACGAAAAATCATTAATACAGAGTAAACAGTAGTACTTGAATGTTTGTGTTTGGTAACAATTAATGCAAGATGGCGGTTTGTTGATTTCGGGTTAGGGTAACAATGAATTTTCTCGATCAAAGATTTTCTTACTATATCGCAGAAGATACGACTAACTGTTTTTGTCCTTTGTGTCCTTTTCATTTTTTGTGAAAAGTGAGAAAAAAAAAATCTTCGTGAAAAGTGCTCATCAATACGAATCATTCAAGCCCAAACACAAGGCAACTACTCCAAATAGTCAAGGAGATCCCTCGATTGTCTTCCGGCTCCATCATCAGGTCGAGTTCGAACATCGGCAAGTTGTAGCGTTGTCAAAAGCCTACTAAAACCACATGCAAAAGCACCACTCGTACCTTCAATTTTTGAAAGTTCTCAATTTCTCTGGTCTTCCATCATCCGATCCTGATTTCCTTATCATGGGACCATTCTAAAACTATCTCCTTGCCAACAAAAAAAGAATTATCAAAATCGGTTCATTAATAACGGAGATATCGGCGAACAAACATAAAAAAGCATATATATATGGTCGAATTGAGAACCATCCTCCTTTTTGGAAGTCGAGTAAAAATATACACACGTTTTGGATTGTTGGTTTTTTCTTACAAAAAATTAGGTTGGTGAAGTTAAGCTAGTTTGGTAGTATCAATATATCATGATACTTAAATAATCGTTTTTACAAGCAATTTGTCCCGTATTCTGTTTGGTCATGGTCACTACATTAGAAAGGGACACACTACCATCGGGAGCTGTCTCGCACCGGCTCGGTTTTTGCGCCTTAGTGCACAGTCTAGTTTAAAGTATAAGGTCTTTGGTTGCGACTAATTAGTAAACTAATGAGAATTAAATATTGACTGTATTCTAAGGTCAGAAATTTGCTTTTGCTTTTGAGGTTCTGAGTTCTTGATAGTCTTTCAAGTTGTTAAAAATAAGGAACTTCCAGATTCTAAGTCCAAAGAAAAAAATATATATCCAGTGAGGCCCGCAAGCCCCACAAACCAAGCAAGTGCCCAAAAATAACCAAAATGGAAGATAGAATGGTACATTTTTATTGTTTGACGTTTGTTAATAAAATGACAACCAAATGACAGAGTCATTGTAGAATCGTGTCGTACCGTGAATGTGGTTACCTGGAAGAGGTTATGTTTACTCGTGATTGTGAACGTTGTTTGTTTTTAGAATTTAGTTTCTAAATAAATATAATCAGGCACTCACAAAATAAAAACAGGCAAGTTTATTCTTTTGTGTATAATAAAACTTATGATGCTAGCTAGCGACGATGTAATAATTTAGACGTATTTACCATTGATCCCATCAATTGAATATTATCTCTTCTCTTAATCTATATATCTTCTTATTTTATTAAAGATCATTTTATGTGAGTGTTTGTACCATCCACCCCAAGCTCAAGAGTACTGTAATAACATTGTTAAATTTAATAAAAGTTTGCTCTCCTTTCTCAGCATTTTTTATATACCATGCGCGGGAGATTTTTTATTTGCCACAAATTAAAGTAAGAGTAACGTCGTGTTTAAATTAAAACATAATACTCATAATTTGACTGTATCTTTAGCTAGCATTTAGTTAATTGTATCTAGTTAAATGTTGTTTTGATATTGATATTGAATTAATAAGTTTGAGTAAAACTATATGACATTGTATAAAATTGTGTAATATTTAGTTTTCAGATCTAGTACCTGTAACAATAACATAAGACCGCATAATGACACAACAGAAGAAAATACCGAAAATAAAGAAGATCAAAGAAGAGTTAAATAAAGAATTTACATTTTTGAAAAATGTATTTTCTGTGATGGCTTTACCTTTGCAGATGAAAGGTAATATTATACTTATACTGTAAATAGAAAGTGTGTTTGACAAAATTTCTTTCCTTCACATTGCAATTGGCCATTGGCCAGGACATACATGGTTTGGTCTAGAAACTATTGCCAATACATTAAATTTATTCAAAGTAATGATTTGAATTAGTAGAGCTTTTCTTTCTTTATGTCTGAGTTACCTGGCAGGCTGGAGTAAGCCTTTTTTTTTATTTCATTCTAAGTTTTGGATTACAGCTATAATAAATATAGAAATAATGATTATTTATTTGTTACAGACTACTTCTTATAAGAATATTTCATTCATATATTTCATTTCAGGTGAGAATGATGACAACATGGATATAGAAATTGTAAATGATAATCCAAAGAGTAATGAAGATGTTGAAATGCCTAAAAGAGCTCGCAGTATAGCGGAACTTGAAGAAAAGTTAGAAAAGATTAAATCCCAAAACAAATTCAGTTTCAAAAATAAACTACAAAAGAAAAGCTTAACTAGTAAATTGAATAAGAAAATTAAGAAAACAGAAAGAGTTAAGGCAAAAGTTAAACCTGTTGTGGATAAACCTTTTGCTGATATGCTGAAGGCCAGTGTAGAGGAGAAACCTAAACCAAACATAGCTAAGCCTGTTTTCAACAATGAAGGAAAACTTGTATTCTCTAAATTTGACTTTGCCAATGTTGGCAAAAAAGGTAACCATAAGAATTATTTTAAATGTTGTTTTCCAATAGGTTAATAAATTAGAAAACACATTTGCCATATTAACACATTCAGTGCCCCCGACGCGTATGTGCGTTTCCTTACGCTACTCTGTGGGCACAGGTGCGTCGAGGGCACACAGAGTAGCGTAAGGAAACGCACATACGCGTCGGGGGCAATGGATGTGTTAATTAACAACCATTAGCTTTAGGTGTGATATTAAAAATATAAATATATAATATTTCAATGTGTTTTTTACAGAAAGACCAAACAAAGCAGAAAAAGATCCTAAAAAGATTTTGGAAAACCTTAAACAACAAGAAGAACGTCTCAAACAGTTGGAAGAAAAAGAAGACAGTTATAAAGTAAAAGAAATAAAAGAAAAAATTGCTTGGAAAAATGTACTCCAAAAAGCTGAAGGACAAAAAGTGAAAGATGACCCAATATTATTGAAGAAGACAATTAAGAAAATGGTAAGCTTCGTTAAAAATAATGATGATTAAAAATAATTAAATTACTAGAAACTAAAGGGCCGGTAGTACGTTGATATTGACATATTTAGTCGCCAAGTCATGAATTTCTTCAAATACGTCGTTATCATTGTCGAGATTTCCATCGTTGATTTTTTTTGGTACAATATTAGTTTGTGTCATTACTTATTATTAACATTGTTGTTTTTTGTTATAGGATCAAAAGAAAAAGCAAAGTAAGAAGCAGTGGGACACTAGAGTTCAAAATGTTGAACAGAAGAAAACAGAAAGGCAAAAGAAAAGGTCAGAAAATATTGCCAAAAAGAAGAAAGAAAAGAAATCTAAAATTATAAAGACGTCAATCAAGAGGGGCCGTGTTGTAATATAGTGAATAAAAATCTTGTAAGATTTTAAGAATAAATTGCTTTGTACAAACGACAGCTTGAATTTTTTTTATTTCTCATCAAGTCTTCGGACCGATGAAGGCAGAATTCACGAAATGTACTTATCTACCTTTAAAAAAATGTCTGTAACACCTGCTGTTATGAGAGCCAAAAATAATGGAAAGATTGAAATCAGTATTTCCAGAAACCGCGTACAATAACTCTAGTCCCGGTATTCAATACACCGAAATAAATAAAACTGAAATACTGGTGACTTCCAGGTAATAGTTGGCTAGAGAAAAAAGGAAGGTATGAACTAAAGTCTAATGGATTCAAAAGGACAACCTAAGTCATTGTGGTGTTGTTCCCTATAGTAGATTATGCTGATGTTTATTAATATGACCTGAATGTAGATCTCAATAAACTTGACCGACTTCTGAATAACTGCATTCGAATAGTTTTCAACCTGCGCAAATATGACCATGTTCTGCACATCGGCTGCAATTTAAGTGGTTGCCCATACGTCAGCATAGCGTTCCGCAAGCGCCTCACAGAGCCAATAGACCACCACAGACGGTGCCCTACAGGTCTGATGTTCAGCCGGGGTTGCGGCGTAAGCGCAATGAGTCACCGCGGCCTCGGTCTTGAGCAGGAAAAGAGACGGGGTATTGTTTTGCAAGAAGAGTGACACTACCTCCCGCCCGACCCCGGGCGGAAGAAGTCATTTGATGATTTTCCCCTCACAAAAAATCTTAACAAATAATAAGGACAATTAAGAAGGAATCTGAGAAATAACAAAACAATTTAACAGAAAGGAAATGTAATTTATTCGTGGTACTCAGTAACGTTAAATACGCTATTTTTTACTTGTGTTGAATAACTAAGTTCTACAGGGTAGGTACATAATAAATTAACGGGCATGTTAACGAAGGCAGGCGCTGATCACCACGAGCGCTTCTACGACCACATGACCTTACAGTAAAAATGATTTTGGCTTAGACAAGGTAATATGCAATGGAAGGTTTAGTCGGAAAACAATGCGCTCGTATAGTTTCACATTACACTGTTTTACAGTCTACGTTACTAATCATTAATCAAATAGATGAACTATATCTATGTACCTAACTAAATTCATATGAACACATCTTTTTTTCTTAAACCTAGGTGCATTAAAAGTTACACACCATGCTAAAAAAGTACAAAGACAAAATATTTAGGTACCTAATGGTATATATTTTCTGTATAATATCAATCCAAACAAATGGCAGAATCAGTCACAATGTCGGTGGTTAGATGATAATTTTGGTTTACAAACGGGTGTCTAGGCTATACTCATAATCATGATATACACTAATAATAACTTTCATAATTATGTTTAAAGTGATTACAATGTGTATTATAATTTTGTTACATCTCTAAACATGCACAGATGCAGATATTTCGTGGTGTCTTAGTAATTTGAAACAAATATAACATGTAAAACAATTAATAATACAACGAATTAAGGAAAATTTACTACTGCCCAATGTAAGCTAAGCTCAATGGTTAAAACATGATATTTTTAAATAGCTAACAAACATTATTTAACTTGTTTGTGGATAGGAAATAATATATGTAGTTTCAAATTTCTAATTCTGTGCCATCAGAAAAGTGGAATAGGTTCATAAAAAAGTGATGCCTACCGAATTGTAAGTACACGCTGCTCTAGTCGTAGTTTGTGTTATTGAAGCGATAATGAGGACGAAGCGGCGATATAAAGTGACCATGAATGTTTCTGTAATAGATTACACAATATATTATTGTCATTTTCCGCGCGCCCTCAATATTTAAGTTCAGTACCTGATGTTAAGACGTCTCTACACTAAACTTATGAATATTTCATAATAAAATATATTCTTTAGATTAAATTTCTTAAAGATAATGTTAGTGCCAATAAGAAGACGCTTGACAACTTTGTGGCAATTAGCAATTTAATTATTTGGAGCTGTCCTGCTTAAACAGTTAGCAAAACATGTTAGATTAAAAGTTTGGTGTTATTTGAAGTATTCTTATTTTTCACAACATTATATGCTTATTTGACTAGTTTTAAGCCACGACCAGCGGGCCTACCATTGCGTGCTAGGGCGTCAATCTTGCGTGCGAGAAAGAGGGATGGAGCTTTAAAATGTGTATAGCTCCATCCCTCTTTCTCACGTCTTGGTAGGCCTTCCATTCAGTTATCTTTGCGACGTTTCGTAGTCATTTATCAACCCTGATCGTATCTTAAAACTAAAGGTCATTAGAGCCACCCAGCATCCTCTCCGCACCGACTAGCCTCATACGGTAGGTATTTTTTATATGGACATGCGCTTCCTACATCAACTCCGTAGCCTCACCAGATCACCTCGGTTTTATTAACACCCACGTCCACCCATGCTCTACCTGTCGCCAACGATAGACGAGGCACTGCCGTTTCGGGATGGGTGCCGGGTGGCTCTAATGACCTGAGACCCTAATCGAGCATCCTTAAAAAGTTTACAATACGGCATAATGATTATATTATTTTGTAAGGTCATTAAGTAGCGCAAAATATTAAACAGTACAGCTCAAAATACTTACGTTTAAATTTACATTAATGAATTAAAGAACACATTTTCAGTAAATTACACCGACATAACTTGGAAACAAACCAGCTTACAATGGATATTTATGGAGCTTCTTGAGAAGTAAGGTGAAGATTTTATAATGTTTTAAAATAAAGTATTACATAGGTAAGATTATTTACTACCTCAAGAAATTAACTAATAAAAACATTGAAAATAGCACAACATTATCGCTATGAATCACCATCCAGATTACAGAGAGGTTCAAAAGTGGTTTACTCTCTTGATGAGAATGTGCACATGTAATGAGAATGGGTGAAAATCAAGAAATTTAAGACAGCCTCTATTTTCTAATGATTTACCTTACTTCTTAAGATGTATTGCAATAACCAAAGACCAATAAAAATTAAACATAAATGTTAACCTAGACATTATTTAACCAAGACTCCGTAAAAAGTCATCCGTTAATTAAGTAACTAAATTATAATATTATGTATTAACTTTATAAAACGAATTTGGTATAATAAACCCAATATTTCTCTCGGTGGCTTGTATAAGCAAGATTCCTGTATGGAACTTACAAACTTACTTATTAAAATTCTTCAAAATATAAACTATGTAACTAAGTGATAAAGATATTAAAATAAACTTAGCTATTAGTATTAAAAACAAATGTAAATAAAATAATAGCAACAACGGATAATGAATAAAAAAGCCTCCAAATTGAAGTACTCATCTTTCCACATAACATGAACAAAATAAATAAAATTAGAAATAATAAATTTAAAAAAATATAAGTGTACAAGATAAAATTTGAGAGTATAATAATAAACTCTTATGACATAATATTAGCATAATAAAGGCTTACTAGATTTAGATATTATAGCCTCGAATCTTAGAATTAAGGTGTGTGTACACATATATTGTTTAAATATTTAAAAACATTATATGAATAAATTTTATAAATTGCAGCAATAATTTTTCAGTGTATAACACTTCAAGAATAAATATTATGGGTAGGTAGAACACAACAAATACATAATTCCAATAACCATAACATGCACAAGGCTTAGCCAACGGTACATTGCACTTCATCAAGTTTAACTTACCTAAAGGTGTAACATTTTCAAACTTAATGTCCTATAGCAATGTGAATAAAAGATGTCTTTAGAAAATATTCGAAATACACGTATATATTATATGTATACGAAACTACACACATCTATAAATTGTCTTTGGAGAAAAATGTACATCAGAGCCCCAGAAAATATAATATGCTCCTCATACACCTCCACTGACCAATACAGCATACAACTTAGGTACAAAAACGTTAAACTAAAATATTATGTTCTAAAAACTATAAAAATAACATACTCTATAACTTCTCCAAAATAGAAAAATAAAAATTGTTTTTGTTTGTAATACTGCACATTCATCTTTATTCTAAATCAGTCAAAAGCATTGTTGTAGAAAAGATATCAAATTATAAAAAAATATATCTGATAAACGTACAATAAATTGTTGCATGTATGATCTGGTTCTATTTCACTGTCAATCAACAGCTATGATTTACTTTAATTAAAACTTAAAGGTGGTTATAACAATTTAAGCATATTCAAATATATTACCCACTCCCTCACTAATATATAAGAACATGTCCAAATGGCTATGTAACTTACTCTTATTTACCTACTAACTAAAGCCTAATTTAAATGGTAATAATAAAGCAAGTCGTGAGGCGGGATATTTGCATCAGTCTTGTGAAATTCTCAATATTGTGAAAATTATTACTGTCATTTATTTATCTATTTGGTAATCTTGTAAAAAAAGAAACTGTTTAATTTAATATGAATTAATTAGTTACTTTGTAAGCCAGTGCGGCATCTGTCATCAGTTCAGTTCTGATTTCAAAGAGGAAAGAGTGGCATCCAGCACTCTACCAGCCGCATATCCAGGTATGTTCAGGTAGGCCGGCTTGTCATGTTCACATAAACCTGGCTGAGTGCAGCAGCGCCCCATGGTTGGCACACCAGTGTGCCCTGAACTAGCTTGACCATGACTTGCGCTTGCTTCTGATGTAGCTCCTTGACAAATCATCTTATGATTTGTAAATTGCTCCAATGAGCGTAACTGTTCTCCACAGTTGTCACACTTCAATTCCCTAGCATGTACTTTCTTGTGGCTATTGAGCGATCTTGAATTATCAAACACCTTAGTGCACATGTCACAGTACTTCAGAACTTTCTCTCCTGTGCACACCACTTTATGATTGTTCAGTCTGTCTAGCGACATGTAACGTTTGTTATTGCACAGATCACATTTGAATTGTTTCTGAGGTACACGACCTGTGTGTACTTGCATATGTTTGCGTAGGTTGCTCTTATCTTTGATATATTTGGAGCACACTGAGCATTTGTTCACGTCTTTTCGCGTATGATTAGCATCCAAATGTCTTCTTAGTTGTGATTTTTTGTAAAAAGGTTCCAAACATATTTGACATCGGAAAGGCTTTTGTGCTGGGTGAACTCCTGTCAAATGCGTGTTAAATTCTAAGATTGTTGGGTAGCTCTTACGGCAGTGGGGACAATGGAATAATTTGCGACATATTGCTGCACTTGAGTCACAAAATGGGTCAGAACAGTCATCACAAAAAGAATCTAATCCAACTGGAGGTGTAACTGTCTCTGCTTGAAATTGTTCCAAGTCGGATTGTAGTGGGTCCCTATCTGGAGTCCCAGGCCCAGGAGGTTCTTGTTTCACTTTAGTTTGTTCACTGTGTTCTGAATAACCGTCTTGAGATGGTATGGCCCTGGCGGTGCTAGTGCCTGCGGCACCAGCGAGCACCCACCAGGGGTTGTAATGCCAAGGCCCCAGACCAGAGTGCACTGCCTGTTCTTTTATATCACTATTTTTCGTTTGCGTTTCGGCATTAGAAAAACCTGGAAAACTGGGTAGTTCTTGGTGTTTTGATCGTGACGCTTCGAATAAATTATGTTGTGATATCAAGTTTTCATAGTCACTTGGATCCAACTTTCGGTCATGCCCATGTCGATCTGACGGATCTCTTTTAGACATTATTTAAAAACAATATGTATCTGAAATGGAAATAAAAACATTGGTTATTGTTCTATTTAGAAAAAAGTAATGTACAAAATGCTATATCATGAAACGTAAACAAACAACGCAATTACGCGCCCAAGTAAACACAAGCATTACTTTAGTAATTTCCACATTGCAAACAGTAGTTATTTATGTTGTAAAGAAATATAACTATGAAAATAAAATGATTTTTAAGAAATTCATCATTAATACTAATGTCTGTACAACAAAGAATAAATAAACAAGTAACTTCGCTTCCCTTGTATTTATGTAAAATATTAGTGTAACTGTTCTATTAACACATAACATATACATATATTATACACAGCTATATAAAAAGAAAGCAATATATTATAATTTGATAAACTTTATACATACTATAGTAAGACTTGCCATAAAATTCTCAATATTCTCATAGAAACTATTTTTATAGAACATCGGCCATTTTGTTTGATTAGTTTCTTAATTCTTTAATTTTTTTTCATCGTTTTCGTTTGTTTATATACACGGCCTTTTAAGTTGGTGTTCATCAATCAACTTCATTCCGAGTCGATTTTTATTTCTGTTTTTGTGAATCTGAAATTATCAATCATAAATTTATTCATCTTCTTAATGATCACCGTGGTTTAATTCCCTAAGTGATTATCACATTCGCTCAGCCACTAGGCCACATTGACGGGGCTCATGGACGTACGCGGGCTCTACATCTTCATATTGACTAGGTATACATTTTAATAAGGTACTATTAAACATTTGAAAGACCTAGCCATATTGGACGTCACTTTACAATTTATCTGAAAATAGTTATTATTTGTGCTATAGTTGAAGTTTATTCCTCAATACGGTGACTTTAAAGGTCGTTGTTTTAATAAATAATTGACATTTTCTAAAACTATCTCAAACGAGAAATCAGACATTATGCAATAGATTCTATATAGGTAAGTACATCTGAGCCATTTTTTGACATAAGATTTGTATGGTTGAACCATGTATACGGCTTCGTTTCTATGACAGTGGTATGTTGAAGAGATCACAAAATGTTTGTAAAGCGAGACTAATAATATAATGCTTATATTATTAAATAGTACGCTTATATTATTTGTATGTCTATACCAATCACGGGATCACAGGTCCCGGTCATTTGGGAGGCGTACGAGCCGCCGGAGCCAACTGCGCAGAGGCCCTTTAAACAACTTTGATCTAAATGAAATGGGACACAAACTGGCGACTATACCTGTATGCACTATGGAAATGCACCCAAGGACAGTCCCCGGACTATTGCTGATTGGAAACAAAGTACAAGGCTATGGGTGTGGGTTGTTATGGACTGGTATAATAGGAACTATGGAATGGCACCTGCCGAAACAATGTATTAAATACACGTAAAAATGGCAGGGGGAGACTCGCCAACTCACCGACCGGGCCCCGGGGAATGGTTGCTAGTAATAGCAACAGAGGGATAACGGAAATGTGAGTGGTTGAAGAGTGAAGAAACTGTCACCAGCTTTCTACTCAGATCATCTGCATATGCCTAAGCATCCTGCATTACTGGCCCACTCGCCGCTTACGAACAGATTCCATCCTCCGAACAGGATCACTACTCTCGCGACTCCACTCTTGACGGCCAATGAAGGCAAGCCAGAGGTGGGAGACCTGTTGCTCGTCATCATTCACTCCGGCCAGCCAAACAAGGCAAGCCGGAGATAAGAAAAGGTGACTTCTCCCTGGAGTCGGGATGATGGTAGCCCGCGGGATCGCTTGCGGGCTTATATTATTATTATGTAGCCATGTGTACATACCTTTAGCATTGTCAAACTGAAGTGTCAATGTCAAGAGTGTCATCAATTCCCATTTGATGAAACTCAAGACTCTAGTTTTTATTAATTTTGAATAAAAATTCGATTACATAATTTGCAAGATTTTGTATTTTTATTAATAAAAACTACATTGCTGATGATAGAACCACGTCAATATGGCGTGGCTAGGATCTACCGTACTGAATTTTTTTTGGAAGCCCAGTGTAAACATTGTGAGGTTAGGAAAACTATTTAAAGACAATAACATATTATATCTTTTCCTTTTTGAATAGTGCTGACTGATATTTTGTTTATTTTAGAACACGGTATCATTCTGAAAAACAACGTCTCATTAAAAGATTTGGTTATGAAGAAAAGTTATGGAATGGTGGATTGCTTCCTCGGACATTAGGGAAACCTTTGCCTATGCCAGAGTACAGGTAACCTACAAATTTCAATACTGCAAGTATTGTATAAGCATTAATTAAGCACTAAAGTTATAAATAGAACCAGAGTTCTGAAGTGTACTGTAGAAAATAAAGAGGATCAGCATAATGTCAGCTGTTAAAAAATCTTGAAACAATTTTGTCATCATTTCAGGCCAGCAAATCCATGGACGGAGCGCAAAGCTTTGTTTGGTCAGAATGATTACATTGATATTCTTGGATCAGGGGACCTGCACCCAGTGAAGACTCTATACACAGTTCCATCCTGGATAAGGGGAGTGAAGGGCAATGAGTTCCAAGTGAGTAAATAATTTATTTATAAAAATAATTTACATTATTAGTTGGAAATTACCAATTGTATTTTTCATTGGAACTATGTTGTTGGCGGTCAATAGGTGCTGCAGATCACAGGTGATCTGTCAGCTTGTATAGCCTAGTTCCCATTTCATAAAAAAATAGCATAAGGAGTAATAAAAACAAGTTACTTGAAATATTAAGCCTTTGACTGCCGACAAAAACCTGTTGAAGGCAAATCTTCCGCTAACGGAGGTCACCGGTGACCCCCATGGCGCTTAATGTGTTAATAGGGACTAAGCAGATAAGACACTGGCATATAATAATGAAAAAACAAATCTATAGGATGTTTAAAAACTACTTTATTTAAAACCTTTGTTTCAGGTCTTATTGAGAAAAAGGAAAATGCTGGGTCAAGCTGGCTTCCGTCAAGTAAGACCTACTAAGTGGAAGGAGTTGGAAAAGAGAATTTCTTTCTTGTATAGAAAACTCAACAGGAAAACAAAAACAGGCCCATCTCCAGATTAAATTGATATAGCTTTTATTTAATTGTTATAAATAAGTATATGTAGTGATGTAAAAAAAATTAGGAATAAAATGTTTTAAACTATTGTGTAATATTTCATTTGCATTTTTTGGTACAGTTAAAATAGGAGTAAGAACAAAAGGGTAGGAATCAAAACCATAATGAAAAAGAAGTTCTATTTTTACATTTTTATAATTTCAATTCTTATAGACAATGTTGATTTATAAATCCAAATGAAATAATTTGTATTACATGGGGAAGTACATATAATTTTTCATTATTGGACATTACAGAACAAGTAAGCTTTGCTTTTTAAAATTATAAACTTAATAATTATGTATTGCACACAAAGGATACTATTCTAATGGTAACTATGAACTAAAGCAACTGGGTAATGCGTTTTTTTTTAATTAACTCCTAGTTTGCGACCAGAAAAAGCGGGTTACCTGTCTGGGCAATATGATTGGTAAGTCATGAATTTCTTTATAAAAAATCCAGAATAAGACTAAAATTTTTTTACTGAAAAAGTCTTAATCTGCTTAGTCGATATCATTGTCGAGACAAATTACGTCTGGAAGTCCCGATAGTAATTACGATAAACATCGGTGATTAGAACGATACTTTCTGCTTCATGCATGTAAACACCCAAAAATAGCAAAGACTACCTCAACGACATCTTTCCCTAACGTCGATGAGAGGGTTAAAACCTCAATGGACTACATACATTAAATTAAGTCTACCTGAGATACCGCGTACTGAACGATAGATGTCACTATTTTCAATATTGTCTTTTCTATTTGCCTATGAATTCATAACGGCACTGAATTTACTGAGATTGGTTTTTAATTAATAACTAGTTCTGTATATTTGGTTCATTGAATTGACTAGATTTATGATATTCACGTATACACTTTATAAGCCTACATAGGTACTTTTATTACCTAGCTACGCAATACGCAATTTAATAAATTATTGCTTTACAATAAATCACGTTTTTGTTTAAGGGCTGATTTTTCAATGGTTCGATAAAAGGTAGGTACCCTGGGAATAATTATGATACTGTCGCGTTAGAATGTTTGTTAAAGTCAGTGACAGCAACAATTTTATTCCCCAGATAACATTTATGACTACCTACTTATTGAAAAATCAGCCCTAAAGCAACAATAAATAACTATTATGTGCACCATCGTCGGCTACACCGGGGTTTTCGCCAGGCGAGGTGCTGGCTTAACGCGGTCAGCGTATAGGAGAAAAAAGAACATAAAGATCTAACATTTTACGCCTTATTCACATAATATTTTGACGAGATATATTTATTGGTTTACACCTCATCACCATGAGCACCTAGTTATTTCCGTTATCTCGTCAAATATGAAAAAGTCATAAAACGTAATTAATTTAATATTGTATAGTTCAAACCTATTAACTACTTAGTGTTATAATTTGTTTGTAAGGGTAGATATTCCCCAATCCTCTTTTATAAGGTCAGCTGCCTTCTCTCCAATCATGACAGCGGCGGCGTGTGTGTGTGCTGCGGGTATCCGCGGGATTATGGACGCGTCAGCTACTCTCAATCCTTTAATTCCATGGACTTTAAGTCTTGGTGAGACAACTCCCGTAGGATCACCAGCTGGAGCCATTTTGCATGTGCCTACCTGTAGACAAATGATGTTACTTGATTAATACCTTCATATTTCTGAAGAGCCAACAGTGTTGTGGGTGCAAGCGCATTAATTTTTAGTCAACCAGATTCTGATGATGGACTAGGATCTCGTCCTACCTAGGGCGGGAGTAGTAATTTGATAATTAAATCCGATAAAAAAGGGTCTGAAGAGACTGACTTTACATCTGGTAACTTAGGGAAACTTGTGGCAGCGAAGTGTATAGATATCAAAAGTTGTTTTTTGTTTAGTAGCTACAGTGCGGGAATTGAAGCAGTTTCGTTGTACCTACAATAACTAAGTAGGTAGGTAGCTACCTAAATGAAAGTTTCTACTCTAACATTACAATATCATAAAATTGAAAACACAGCTGGAATAAACGTTTTCAATCATGAAACACTAAAATAATAAAATACTGTTTGTACACAGCGTTTCTTACTTGATGGTCTAATGTGATGGAAGTCTGCATAATAGCACACTCCCAGTATTCATCCGAGTCGAACAACAAAGCCTCGCAGCCGGGAAATGGTGTTGTGTGTAATTTAGTATTATAACGCTGGAACGCTTTCGTACCAATTATTTTTTGTACCTGGAATTGAAAAGCGGAGAAATTTTTATTAACTAGGTTAGACAAAGTTATTTTTGGAAGTATATAGTATAGTTATGTTAAGGTATTTTCTAGTTTGATGGCTACCTGATAAAAGCTACACTTACCATACGAACACCTTCGATCATAGTTCGCAAATCGTTCGGATCAGCGAAATAGTTTAAATGGATTCTGGGATGGTCGGTAAAGTTAGGGCTTCGGAGCATTAATCTGCCAACGCTGTTTGGTCGGATTAGCACGGGGTTTATGGAGAATGTGCGCATCCTCGCCCCGAAAGGTAAAGTCTGATAGACCTTTCGGTACCACTCGTCCGTCACTCCTGCAATGGCAAAAATCAAGTTAGTCATTAAAAGTTGCAAGTTGATGCCATGCTCTCGGAAGAGGTTATTTTCCGGATCACTGATCGCCGTCGACTTTCATAATCTCTTTTTATTAAAGTTTTAATGGAATAAACAAAGCTGTTCTAGACATAGATAAAGTTTTTCTATTTTGAAATAGGGATTATGCAGGTCAGCAGGTGCTAGTACCTTGGTATCTTCATTTACAAACTGTAGATACAATTTGAATTCTGACCTGAATCCAAATTTTACAGTTTTAGTCGGTAATAATCCCAAACATTTTTTCGGCTATGCATTGTGCAGACCTTTGATACACGAGTAGTGCTTTCGGTTAAATTCATCCTGGCTTTCTAATTAGTGAGTTTAAGCGTAGACATATCAGCCGGGGTTGTAGGGTAAGCACAATGAGGCTCCGCGACCTAGGCCCAGAGCAGGAGAAGGAACGGGGTGTTTTTAGCCAGTAAGAGTCTGACACTCCCTTCCGCCCGACCCTGGCCGGAAGAAGTTATTTGAAGATTTTCCCATAACAAAAAAGCATAGTCATATGTATAAATCAATGCTCATTATTTTTTTGACTCTTAGAAGAATCAATTATTTATTAATATTATCTACTATTTTTAAAATGAAGGCGTAGAGAATAATTACCCAGCAAAGACCGCAATATTCCCATTGCATCCCCAGCTAAAGATCCAGCTCCCATGACCAGTTCTATATCAGGCCTGGTCTGATCTACATCGTATGAATACTTAGTATGCACAAAGGCAAGTCCAGTCGCTCCTCCAGGTAGGGTAAGTGGACCTCGTCCTTGCATGTATGCTGCTGCTACGAAGGGGGATGCTGCAGCCAACTGCGAAAAAACATCCTTGTTATTATACAGGGTGTAAAAAGACACTTAACGAAGCCGTTAACTACGCATACTGCAGTTCTAACTAAGTAGCTTTACGCTAAAATTAACACTGAGAAACGACTTTTATTTTTAGGTATAAAAAAAATAATAATAATTTTATTGCGCGCAATGTAAAGCAAACGGGCTTCGTGTCATTGTGTGCGTAGGTTCACAGCTTAGCATTAAAACGCTGTGATAAGTAGGTACGTAGGTCGACGTTTTACTTCGCATTAAAAAAAAAATTCTGTAAAATAAAAATCCTACTGAGATGCACGATGTTTTTTGTGCGGGTCTGCATTTAATTATTACGTACATTACTGTTCGTAACTTAAAATGCGTAATTTATTTAGAAAAATCGAAAATTCAGGTAATGTTTGTTTGGAAAAAAGTTTTGTAATAATACTTAGAATTCGATTGCGCAAAAAATAAAAATGCATCATTGACCTTTAATATCTCGAGAACCCGTGGAGTACCAGCTAATGGTCTTAAAGAAAAAAATGATCCAAATAATGGGTAGAATACGTGGCTTTCGGCTTCGTTAAGTGTCTTTTTACACCCTGTATAAATTGACATAATTTTATAGAAAAATAATTTTTGAGTGATGTTTAGCCATATTTTGGCACGCATGGGTCAGCTCGACCTCAATGGTGCTACGGCCTTACAGAAAATAGGCGTGAAACAACCGTTACCGGAGGCCCAATCCTTCCCCTGTCCGCATTTCCACCCAATCTCAAAATCTCTATATCCATAATCCCCAAAAGGCCGGCAACGCACTCGCTCCAGTCGACCCAACCCTTATTAACTACAATATGAAAACAGCGTATTACGGATAACGTAGGTCTGTATACGTAGCTGTAGTTGCAAACTGCCCAGGTACGGGGAAGTTAGTATTGTTTTAGTTTTGCTACCACACTTCCATGGCAAAGCTTCGAATTATGCAGAAAAACGAGGTGCAAATATTAGTTAGAATATAATGGATAGTTCATAGGAATTAGGTCATAACGTAAGCTACTTCGATTTCCTAGTTCTAGCACAATGTTCGACATTCTACTTTCGAAATAGTAAAGGAAAATATAAATGGTTGAATTGTTCTATTTTATTGCTTTCCACGTTCAAAACATTATTGGCTTTTAGGGTCCAAAATAATAAATCTTAATTTAAAAAGTTTGGATCCATCTGTTTTTGATAGAATTAGAAATTTGAACGCAATGCAACAAAATGTCAAAAATCTATCATAATTCGTGCTTGGCGCTATTACCATATACCTAATCTATCTCTTTTTTAATTTAGTAATGGAAAGAATTTTGGCCATTATCACGCCTGATGGTAAGCGGTAATGCGAACCACGATAGAGCACGCCATTCCATAAGCAACCTTTTCACTCAGGTCTTGAAGAAACGCAGGTTCTACCCTTCGGAGAACAAAAACTCCGGCAAAGAATTCCACTCTTTCGTGGTTCCGGTAATATCTCTCGAGGTGAACTGTGTGGATATCCATCATGAAGCGATAACGTTTTGACTCTTATACATTACACACTGCACTTGAAGAGGAAATGTTCAAAAAAACAGATGCACCTAATAAGGCAGTTATTATATTTGCTGTTGGACAACAAACAAACATGACTGAACTCATTTATTGATTCCATAGGTTCGAATGAATTATTTATACTTAGGTTAATGAATAATATCAGTTGCCTGACACCTGGCTACATAAATTGTCATAGCTAGGTAACTTATTATTAACCCTGTCAAAATTTTGAAATGACCAGCACGATCACGTGGAGGCTTCTCTCAACTTTTCGAATTAATTCTTTTATGCTGACGAGCTGTGATCCCGCTTTTCGAATTCAAACTTTAGCGAGGTTTTTAATTTCACTTTAAAAACGCTCCAGAAAATACCTCACGTATTAGCATCATATTAAAGATTTCAAACTGTTATAAAATAGTATCTTTGAATTTTTTGTATTGTATAGGTGAAATATACTACCCCAGCTTTTGGCTTGGCATGATTGCAATGCTGATCTAAATTTCTTCACTATGTAACGGATATTAAATATGAACCATCCACTTCAATCATACTGCCAATTAAAAAAAAAACGAATCAAAATCCGTTGCGTAGAAACTCAGTTCTAACATTAAGATTTAATATTTAAGTGAAGGTACAAGGGACAGAAAAAGCGATTGTTTTATGCTTTATGATAAGAAATTGTCATTATGCACCATTTCCGATATGGTAAAAAAATACTTAATATTTTTATTTTGTTGAAGCCTTGGGTATCGATTGAAACGTCGGCATCATCGATGACGCCATGTGTGAAACTAATCACAAGCCGTTTAGTTTTAAAATATTGGCTACGACTTTTCGATGGGTGTCCAAAATGAAATCGCAACTTAGAGGGACATTTTGAAAGTGTCCAGTACAATGAAATTTGTAGTAGGCATACAGAACACCATGAAAAAAGTGCGCACCAGATACTGCTATGAAATTACTGGATCAGTATCCCTGTTTACAGTTCTTGTATTCGTACACGTAAATACGTGTTGTGTAGCAATATTGTATTTGTTCCATAATGCTGGTCATTGCGCAGATACTTATTTACGTCAAGGAAAGAAATAATGCATAAGAAGTGCTGTATTCTGTGTTGTGTTGACACAAATGTATTTTTTATTTACAAAGAAAGCAGTTTTCCCCCTCTGGTAGGTACTAAAGTATGTTCAGCAAGTTCGAATGCGGCCAGTTGAGTGTACTTGATAGGTCAAGTAGAAGAATACGGTTGGAAAAGGGGCGAGGTTGTCGTTCCCCATATTTTGTTGTTTAGTACGTTGTAGGTATTTGTATATTAATACTTACATCATTCATAGTCATCCCAGTTTGGTTGACGATAAAAGCGTTGCCAGAAAACGTCACGTGGTCTTGGAGATTGTATCCGACAGGTAGGTCAGCTATCACTGGTATCCCAAATTCAAGTAAATGATCCTCTGGTCCTATTCCAGATACCATCAAAAGTTGAGCTGATCCGATAGTTCCTGCAGAAGAAATGACTTCTCGACGAACTCGTACCTGTATACTGAAATTTAATAACGGAGGCTCTATATTATTATGCGTACACAATATTAAATGAGGTAATTTAATAAAATATAATATAACGCTGCTGTATAAAACAAGTTACCTCATATTACGCTTTGTAAATTCAACGCCGGTAGCTGTTTTAGTGTAGGAGTCTATTATAATTTTCGATACGGTAGAAAATTTCGTAACTTTTAAATTAGGCCTGAAGCGTATTGGTTCAATGAACGCTTTTGATGAACTGCACCGTCTACCTTTTCGCATGGTTGCTTGCGGTTTTGAGAAACCAATTAAATTTTCTCCGTTTGGATCTCTCCATTCGTATCCAAGTTCTTCACCAGCTTGTTTAAATGGCTTTTCAAGAGGTGAATGGTACGGCGAGTACTCTATATCTAAATATCCCCCGACGCCATGGTAAGAAGAGTTACGTAGTTCTCTGACACCTATGTTTTCTGACTTTTTGAAGTATGGAAGAACTTCATTGTAACTCCAACCCTCGTTGCCCATTCTAGCCCAGTCATTGTAATCTTCCGGGTGTCCACGTTGATAGATTAAAAAGTTTAGTACACTGCTTCCCCCAAGCACTCTGCCTCGCGGCAAAAAGCATACTTTTCCTCTTAGATCTCTGCATGCTCTGGGTTCCGGCATTGAATTGTAACCCCAATTCATGCCAGTGAGAGAAAGAAATGGAGCAAAAATGGGAATGTCTGAAAAGAAGTTTTCGTTTCCTCCTGCTTCTATGAGCAATACTTTCCATTGTGGAACTTCAGTTAATCGGTTAGCTACTACAGAACCTGCGGATCCGGCTCCTATAATTATAAAGTCAAATTCTTCTTGATTTTTTGGAGTGTAATCTGGAACAAAACCTTCTCTGGGATTGCGAGGTAGGGGGCGAAATAAGTCAGTCCAGTAATCCAAAAATCGCCGGGTATCAAATTGAGCTTTGACAGCAGAGATGAAGAGCAAGAAGAACCACCATTTCATGATGTGACCTTGTTTTCTTCATTCCTGGAACAAAATAATATTGTACTTGTATGGAGTCAGTGTTTCATAATTAGCAGTGAGTCATACAGTTAACAGCTACGTGTAGATGGACTTTACGTGGTAACATCGTTAATTGAACAATCAGAATTCTCTTGACATGTACTGAATTGATACCTACGTAGTAGTAACACGTTAAGTAACTTGAAGGTTAGCTTTGGTCATATAGTAGGTCTAAAGAATTTGTTTTGAATACGAATTACTATTTTAGGACTAACGCAGCCTGTAGTCACTGTTCTAGACTAGTCTCCAATGGATGACGTGTGTTATCCTATCCTATGTTTCATAGCTACATATTTATTAAATAATATAGAGAGTTTCGGTGGTCGTGGTGGCCCGGAGGTTAAGGAATCGGCTTTTCATTCACGAGGATGCTATTTCATTACTGACATTAGGTGAAGGAAAACACGGGAAGAAACCTAGACTTGTAATTACTAATTTTTAGTTGGATTGATCCACCTTAAACAATCGTGGTGCGCTCTTTGAGAAGAGGCCTTGCTCAGGAGTGGGCAGTTATAGGCTGGGGATGTAGGAGTTTCATATAGGAAGGTGCTATTCTGTATTTTCGAAAGAAGTTTATTCTTAAATCCAGAGGACGTAATAAGATGGTGACTTTTTCAACTCGTAAGCGCCAAAAACGCTCTAACCGTCAGGATTGGACGGTATGATGAGTAAATTAAATTAAACCCTATTCCTAAATCTCAAATGACTGTAAAATTGCTTGTAAATTGTGAGAATGATACTGGAATCTGTTTTATACTGTGAAATAAACGAGCCTTATTTCTAAATGAGTTTTTATTTTTATTTATATTTTTAAGAAAGGAATGAGTATATTTAACCTGCTGCCAATTTAGTGGCTACCACTACTCTTAATTCTGATAAAAACTTAATTGTTCTTGCCATGACCATGACATGACACCAGGGTATATTTGGATATCAATTCATGGACATTATTCTTCAATAATTCAGTGATATATCGTGTGCAGTAACCTAAATTGCAAATGAGGATGGTTGACCATCACCTAATACTCGAAGGATTAACTCATTGTCAGTCACGCTAGCGATAATGGGCGACATCCGAAGGCATACAGCTCTCAGCATTTTCATCGAAAATGTGGTGAAACATTTATTCACGAAATATCATAATCTGGTTAAATTTGCGTGACGTACGCACAAACAGAATTATGCCTTGTTATTTTATTTCACGGTTATCGATTCAATTAATTATTCTGCGAGTCTGCGACCTAATTCTTCTGGCAGTAAATGAATTGTTATTACGTAAAACATCGACAAAGTTGGACTTAGTTTACTAATTAGTGCCTTTCTTGCGGTCTCATTACTGACTATTGTCCGCTGCAATAGATCTGATTTGTAGGTAATGTTTATTTTTAACAAATCTCTTTACGACAATGTAAAGAAACAAAGCTTTATTGGATTTTTAGATGTCCTCAGTAGGGAAATGGGTCAAGCGTGATGAATGGTGATAGTCTCGGCCCCTATTCCATGGGGCCAATAATGTGTGTGTCAGAGGTGGGTATTACATGCACACCTCGGGATGTATTTGGCGCGCGTGATGATCTGATGTTATCAAGTCAAAAAAGTCAAAAATAATTTATTCCAATTATACCTTTACAGGCACTTTTGAACGTCAAAACAAAATTTTGAAGATATCGTGTCAGTCTGTCGGTGAGTCCTCTTAGTGAAGCTATTCTATAACTATATCTATACCTTTTTATAAGCACATTTTATATATTTGTTTTGCTGGTGACATGTTGGGAAGGTAATTACCTACATCGCAATGTGAACTATATCGAAAACAAAATATTATAAGGTCTAGTATATCCGGTTTTTGCAATCAATATACTAATACATTGGTAAATAATATGAGACTATTTAACTGGGTCAGTCTTAGTTAAGGTTCGAGTTAAAGAAGGTTGGGACTGAGTAATTTAATAAATCTGAATAATCTCTGCTCTTTTTCTTTCTTTAAAATAACATTGCCCCACACTAGGATTTTCTCCTGTGTCGTGGGTTTTTTTTTGTGAGGGGAAAATCATGAAATTACTCTGTGCGGTAACAAATTTCAATTTCACATATGTGCATGTGAAATTTTATGTTTGCCATCCAGACCCGGAACAGCAATTTATGGATCACACAGAGTTGTTCCGTGCGGTCAAAATATTTAAGTTATTTGTTCAAATATATCTATCTGTTCGTTCAGAAGAATTTTCGTTGATACTGTTAAAAATATTATCAACTTAATAGTCGTCTACCTACTTACATAGTTCATTATGTGGTTCATTTAAGTACGTGTTCCCAAATATCGTTGTAAACAACTGTAGTTCCTTCTTTATTTTAAAGGATTTATACCGTACACCTACTTATTACCAAATTCTAAATGTTTCTTACCAAATGGCATAACTACCTACTCAAAACTTTTTGTTCGACAGCTTAACTTTCTGTAATTAACTCATGCGATTTTCTTTTAAAACTGAAATGGTTCTAGAACTTTTCATTGCCCGGTTTCTCAGGTAGGTACCTTTTTGCAAACGAACCAGTTTTTCAATACTCAGTAACCTATATCGGTTTTCTTGGTTCTCTTGGGAATTGTGAATCTTCTCATTAGAGATACGATTTGTGGAAAACATTGAGAGCACGAGATGACCTTTTGGATAAAACTAGTTCTTTTTTTAAAACAAAAATCACTAACGACCCTTCTCTGTTCTCGTAATGAATAAGTTGTTGGATTACGATAGTTTGACATATGAAAAAAAAAAAAAAAATGAAAAAAAAATTGAGCTCCAGTAAGTAAGTATCCAGTCCAAATATGTTTTTCTGTTAATGTATGTACCATAGACTTGCAATAGACCAAGTCTAGTGTCAATTTAGGTCACCGATGATGCATAAATAGTTATCTAAGACCCATAGGGCCGTATTTGGGTCGTATTTGTTTAAATTACATTATTATAGAGAAGTCAAGGGACGCCGTGCGATGCTCAGTCACGTACTATCATTACGTGGATAGAATGTGGATCAATCACACTACTCGTAATCGTGAAATAACGCGGCCCTTCTCTGTGCTGTTAGTTGCCAACAGGCTTCTGTTTATTTAGCCGAAGAAAATCTAAAGATTATCAAGTTAAGCAAGATTTCATCATTTGTTATTTTAAGTTAATATTTTATTCCATAGTTCGTCAGGTAACCTCTGGGCCATTTAAGTTTTATTAATGATCGTAAATATTACAAAACTTTATAGTTTAGTGTTAAGAGATGGGTAATAATTTGTAAACAATATTATGTTGGTACTAAAACCAATTAGATACTTAGCTTAGTGGAAAATGAACACAAAGTGTTGAACTTTTGAGATTTTCTCGAATGTAATCTAATGGACAGAGTGAATATAAATTATTTAAGGTTCAACAGCTTAGGACCTAAGTACTATCTTCAACATTTTTTGCAAAGCTCGATCAATACAGTACAGGCCAGAACCGCCCTAATTAGCGTGGCTAAAAATGCTATGGGATTATAAAACCTTATTACCACTTAAATATGATAGAAAATCGACTAACATCGAAGTTCTAAGTTTGTAGATGAGTTATTTAATACTTATTTCTTATAATAAATTCTATTAAATTTTTGGCATTTACGTCCTTAAATGTCACCCGAAAAAGAACTTTAAGAGTACAAAAACAGAATTTACCTTCGCAAATGTCAGGATGAGAATCTTCGTTCGTTTGTTGGTATGTTCTTTTAAATTCAATATTTACTTTACACAGGAGCAAAGATCGAGAACTATTAGCGATGTAGTGTTTATCGCGAATACTTGTACATACATACTTAGATGTGCACTATGCACTTGTGTAGTGCATGCCACCGCGCCTATGCAAATGCCGTACGAGGCACGACAAATAGATATTCGACATTTTATACAAACAATATTATTAGGTATATTTAGAAATCTTTTTTATTAGTGTTATTAACTAATTACTTAACTGTCGACTGGGATTCAATTAAGTATCTGATCGGGTGAAGTATTGCTTTTTCATATTATAATAATAGTCAATCGACTGCACAATGATTGTCACGTCGCGGGTCACGCGATCATGAATATGAGCCCCCAAAGTGGCTTGAAAGTAGTCGAGATATCACAACGTTAACCTTACGTGTTTAAGCCACTAAACGTAATAAATAAAAGTATTACTTATTAGAGATTTTTCGTTATAATGATTGTTAATTAAAAAGCCCAGAGATTTAGTATAAATGCTATGATAAAAAGGCAAAGCCTCGTTCTATTACGGGGAAGGTATATTTTAGATGACGTAAGAGAAAAAAAATTTCTATTATTATTTAGACACCACTGACATACGGTGAAGGTAAACATCGTGAGGAAACCTGGACTTAAAATTTCTAATTATAAGTTTGAAATCGCCAACTCGCATTGAGCAAGCGTGGCGATTAATGCTCTAACCTTCTCCGTACGAGAAGAGGCTTTTGCTCAGAAGTGGGCACTTATAGGCTGATGATGAATGAAGAGAAAAAAAGGACTAAGTACCTAATGTTACTTTCAGTAAGTAAAAGTAAACACATAGCTATTTACTTAGCTACGTAATAAATCAATAAAATTCACACGTGTCTACAAAAAAAAAAACTCTCAGCAGCCGGCCGGTACCTTGTAAAATGGCATCCTCATTACAAATTCAGCAAGTGACCTCTGTCGACAAACCAAAGGAAGTTCCAGTGACCATAAATAGTTAAATGGAATAAGATTATCATTTAAAACGCTGTTGTTATTGTAAAATCATTCACGTTATGCTGTGGGCATGATGTATAATGATCCTGCGTCCTTGATAGGTATAGGCATTCGCTTAAAGATGACGTGATGAACTATACATAGGTTGCTAGAATGTAGGTATAACCCGTTGGAAATACATAATGTACATTTAAACGTAATCTGATTTCTCTCATAA